CTGCTTTATAAGATGGAGGATCAAGAAAATAGGGATAAGAGAAACAATCTAAAGGGAACAACATGTAAAATATTACATACTATAATGGATAGATCTGTCTCAGAGTTTCTTAAATTGGATGGTGTCTACAGAATAGGAAAGTTCCAACAAGAGAGAGATAAAGAAAAACCGAGCGATATAGTTGTGCAATTCCACAATTATGGGGATAAAGATGAGATATGGAAGAAGATCAAAGGAAGAACGAGCATTAAGTATGGAGAGATAAACATTCAGATTTTCTCGGATTTATCAGTTGGGACACTGTTGAGAAGGAGATCTTTGAGGCCATTAATGGAACAGATGAAAAGACAAAATGTGCAATATAGATGGGGCTTCCCGGCGTGTTTAATAGGATGGAAAAATGGAGTTACTGCAACTTTGAGATTCCCTGAAGATATGAGAGATTTTTGTGACAGACTTGAACTGCAGAGAATGGAGATACCTGGATGGGAAGAAGGACAGATATGGGCTATGGGAAAAAAGAACTGGCAGCTAATTAGAAGGAAAAAATAGAGAGTGGAGAGGGTGGGAGGAGAGGTATGGAGGAGGACTTTTTTTTCCCCTCTTTCTCCATCCATCTCCTTCCAGCCTCCCACTCGGAGAGTTTGTAAGAAATACTCTGATTTAAGATAAATAGAGAGTCACTAGGGAGGGGGGCGGGGGGAGTCGTACAGGGGCGGAGCTCTACCTCAAAGTTTGAATCAAGGGTGGGATTAGGCCCATAAATGATTCCTAGGCAAATTATAAGCCTAACAGGGGGGAGCGTGGGAAGGGGGGGTGGGGGGGAGGAGTGGGGTGGGGGGAGGTGGGGGGGGAGGGGTATGGGAGTTAGGTTAACACTCTGTGATTTGAGGGGAGACACATTAGTAAAGAGTGAAGGGGAGAGGGGACGGAGGAGAGAAGAGGAGGTAAAAGAAGAATGGAAGAGATAGTTTGTAACTTATAATGTAAATGGGTTAAATAGCCCCGGGAAGAGATGCAGGTTGTTTAAGGAGTTACAGCATAGATTATCGGCAGTGGTTTTTTTTTACAGGAGTCAAATCTGGAGATAGAGACTAATGTGAAATTAAATTCTAGACAATATCCCTTATGGTTCTATGCAGAGCAAAGGGGGTGGCAATAGGGTTCGCAAAGAATGTAAGATTTGAGTTGGAGGACAGAGTGACAGATCCTGAAGGGAGATTTTTGTTCTTAAAGGGTAAATTGCAAGAAATAGAGTGTACAGTAGCTAATATTTATTGTCCAAATAAGAAGCCGGAGATATTCTTGAAAAATGTCTTGAAAAAATTGATGGATTTTAAAAAAAAGTGGTTTCATCGTGGCAGGAGATTTTAATCTTTGCATGGATTTGCAGATGGATGCAACCTCTCCTGTGCAGAGGGAGGAAAGTAGGTGTCTGAGATAATTGAAGAAGATGATATATGAATGTCAATGGGTTCATATATGGAGAATTAAACATATGAAGGATAGAGACTACACTTTTTTCTCACATGCACATGAGAGGTATTTGAGATTGGATTATATATTATTAGAACATTGATTTAAAGAGTCTTTGATCAAAGTAAAAATTGAAGCAATATCAATATTGGATCATGCTCCTGTTACGATGAAATTAATATGGGGAAAGGAACTGAAAGGAGGAACAGTATGGAGGTTGAATGAGGCACTTCTCCTGGATCAAGAGACCGATCAAAAAATTAAGGAAGAAACAGATCGATTCTTTGAGGAAAATGATACCGGAGATGTGTCAGTGGCTACAGTATGGGAAGCTTACAAGGCTTATATTAGAGGAATCCTTATTGCGAGCGGGGCAAAAAAGAAAAGGGAAAGGAGAGAAAAAAATTAACGGGCTCCTCAAGGAACTCTTTGAATTAGAACAAATGCATAAAAGTAGAATAACAAAAGAGATAATGCAGATGGTAATAAATAAGAAAAACTAATGGAAGAAGAAAAGAGAAGAGTTTTTAAAAAATGATAAGTGAGAGATATAGATGGGGAGATAGGCCTGGAAAGTATTTAATGAGGGCTCAGAGGAAAAAAAAGGCTAGGAATTATATAGAAAAAATAAGAGATTCCAAGGGAGAGTTGGTTCATTCAACCAAAGATATTGCCAGGGTGTTTAAAGAATATTATAGTAAGTTATTTAATATTACTTCCCATAATCCTATAAATAATGATGGAGTAGGGAAAATCGAAATAAGGCTGACATATTTAAAAAACGCAGCATTATCAAAATTAAGCGAAGTACAACTGAATTCCCTAGAGTTAGAAATAACAGAGGAAGAAATACAAGTAGCATTAAAAAGTACCATGGTTGCGAAAAGTCCAGGGCCAGATGGATATACTGTGAGGTATTATAAAAAAATACAAAGAACTATTAGTACCCAAATTGAAGACATATATGAATGCACTGGGGGGAGAGATGGAAATGAGACGAGAATCCCTACAGGCACATGTGTTCCTTATTCATAAAGAAGGAAAGGATGTCACTCAATGTTCAAGCTATAGACCAATTTCATTATTTAACACAGATACTAAACTATATGCGAAGGTCCTAGCAAATAGGTTGAAAGATTTAATGCCTGAATGGATACATATGGACCAGGTAGGTTTTGTTTCAGGGAGAGAGGGCAGAGACAATGGGTTGAGATCTTTGCTCCTCATCATACAGAAAAGTAGAATCATGGGTTTGGTTGTGGTATTGTCTGCTTGTGAATAGAGAACCCCGGTGGTAGTGCTTTCAATTGATGCCGAGAAGGCATTTGATAGAGTGGATTGGAGATATATGATGGATACTTTGGAAGTACTAGGCTTGGGTGTCAGAATGAGAGAGTGGATAAGGAAGTTATATAGTATGCCCTCTGCAGCAATCATGGTTAATGGGGATTTATCAGAGTATTTTGGGATGTTAAATGGAACAAGACAGGGATGCCATTGTCCCCATTATTGTATGTTTTGTCATTGGAATCTTTGCTGTCTACAATAAGGAATAATACAGACATAAGGGGAATATGGATAGGAGACACAGAGCATAAGGTGGCAGCTTATGCGGATGATTTGCTGTTTTATGTGGGGAACCCCAGATAACATTGCCAAATTTAATGAAGACACTGAAAGAATATGGGAAGATATCAAATTTAAAAAGGGAAAATATACGTGGAATGATGTTTGTGCCATAAATGTGTTAATGTTTTTAAAAGAATAAGTTTGTATAATATATCTGCTTGAAAATTAATAAATATTTAAATAAAAAAAATGCTCTTTTTGGTCATATAGGGGACCATCTTCTCAGGTTCTCTTAGAATGTTACTCCCCTCCAGCAGCTCTCCATTAGTATGGCCATAAGCTATAAGCTACCATTCCATTGTAGCTCTGGCTGTATGTTTAGGATCGTTGTCCTGCTGGAACGTGATCCTCCGCCCCAGTCTCAAGTCTTTTGCATACTCTAACAGGTTTTCTTCTAAGATTGCCTCGTATTTGGCTTCATCCATCTTCCCATAAACTCTGACCAGCTTCCCTGTCCCTGCTGAAGAAAAGCATCATCACAACATTATGCTGCCACTACCATGTTTCACAGTTGGAATGGTGTGTTCAGGGTGATGTGCTGTGTTAGTTTTCTGCCACACACAGTGTTTTGCTTTTAGGCAAAAATGTTCCATTTTGGGCTCATTTTACCAGAGCACCTTCTTCCACATGTTTACTGTGTCCCCCACATGGCTTTTTGCAAAATGCAAATGGGACTTCTTATGGCTTTCTTTCAACAATGGCTTTCTTCTTACCACTCTTCCATAAAGGCCAGATTTGTGGAGTGCACGACTAATAGTTGTCCTGTGGACAGATTCTCCCACCTGAGCTGTGGATCTCTGAAGCTCCTCCAGAGTTACCATGGGCCTCTTGGCTGCTTCTCTGATTAATGCTCTCCTTGCCCAGCCTGTCAATTTAGGTGGACAGCTATGTCTTGGTAGGTTTGCAGTTGTGCCATACTCTTTCCATTTTTGGATGATGGATTGAACAGTGCTCCGTGAGATGTTCAAAGCTTGGAATATTTTTTTATAACCTAACCCTGCTTTAAACTTCTCCACAACTTTATCCCTGACCTGTTTGGTGTATTCCCTGGCCTTCGTGATGAGGTTTGTTCATGAATGAACAAACCTTTGAGGGCTTTCACAGAACAGCTGTATTTATACTGAGATTAAATTACACGCAGGTGGACTCTATTTACTAATTAGGTGACTTCTGAAGGCAATTGGTTCCACTAGATTTTAGTTAGGGGTATCTGAGTAAAGGGGGCTAAATACAAATGCACATCACACTTTTCAGATATTTATTACAATATTTTAAATAAATTACACAATTTTGAAAACTATGTATCAGTTTCCTTCCACTTCACAATTATGTGTCACTTTGTGTTGGTCTATAACCTAAAATCCCAATAAAGTACATTTATGTTTTTGGTTGTAACATGACAAAATGTGGAAAATTTCAAGGGGTATGAATACTTTTTCAAGGCACTGTAAAAGCCGCTAGCTATAATCACATATAAAATCTGTCAGGCTGGTTGTGCCCAATTTGGTTGATTGATCAATTTGGGCACATTCAGCTTGCCCATACATGGTTCTAATCTCGGCTGGTCCCTGCTGAACCAAACGTGATTCAAACTTTATATGGCTTGCTTTAGAAACAAATACATGGAAACAAACATTTAAAACACTAAAAAAATGTGTATTGTTAATATTATTAAAACTTAGTATTGTTATTATTATTAAAAATAACAATAAGAACAACAATAATATTATACATTCCTTTTAAACTTTAGATTGTTATACACGTTAGTTGTCTATAAAGTGATACAAAGGAACTCAAATGTAACACAGGGTGGAGCCTCATTTTTTACATTACATTTTTAAAAATTAATTTTTATTTTGTTGCTAGATTTTTCATGTACCGCTTTTTCTTTTAAGGTTTTTAATCTATTTCCATCCCGGAATAGTGGAGGGTATGACTATCGTATCAGGGAGGACCTTGATAATCCATGCAGACCTTTTGAAGATGAAAGAAGGATAATGTTTACGTACTATTCATATCGCCGTTATGGTAACATGGGTGTGGATGTGCACAGTTTATTTGAGGTAAGCAAACCAATACCCAAAATACATAACCATAAATGTTAATGAATACGTGAAGTTGAACAGTACACACTAGCCTTTCTGTCCTGTCCCTTTCTCCTACAACCTAAAGCACCCTACCATCCCCCTCCCCAGATGTACACTCACTTGCATCCTATGGCTGCCATCTGCTCCAACCTTCACATGCCTTGGTTGACATCTCCTTCCCAATTGTCTATTTTAATGCTTTTCTATGGAGACTGAGAGGCATGTCCAGAGGAAAGATTTTGGTGTGAAGATTGAGCCGGATGGTGGACTTGGGATGTAGAATGTATATATCTAGGGAGGGGGAGTTGCATTAATTTGGAGGGGTGAGGCAGAAAAGATAGGTACACTTATGCAAGGAGATCTTGGATAGCCAGCCTATACCATGTGAACCGGGCATATAGAAAACCGTTTTCTGTCTCTCTATACATTGTTACAATGTTCTAAGAGAGCTTAAGACCAGTAAAACAAAATAGTCTCTGTAACACAGGTGACCAACTCAGATGGATATTACTTTGGGCACCAGAGGTTGTGTTCCTACTGGCTACTAACCCCTAACCTAACCCTGACTGAAATGTACCATTATGCCCATTATTTTTACTAGTTAAATGTTGGAACTGTGTCCCCCAAGACCCCAAACCAACATATGAATATCCTTAGATATTAAAACTGGACTGAAAGAACAACTGTTTCAGCGCTTCAAAGGGGTTGAATGCCAGGAAACAGCCAGGGAATCAAACATGCTATTGGCATAGGAACCAGGTCTTAATGGTGCAGCCCTCCTCTGACTGGGGGATCAACCAAAAACTGGAAAAAGAAACACCTAGCGCATTATGCAAGTTTTTTTTTTTAATTAGAAACAAAAAACATACTCACAAAATGAGATGTGTATAAAAGCCTGTAAAACCACTGAGATGGCCCAACGTGATGGCAGAGTACCTGATTGGTGGGGAGGTCGACCCTCTAATGCATTTCAGGGACATGTCCCCTTTCTCAGAGCTAAAGCCCCAAAGGTTTGTGCCCTACTAAATATGTGTGTCATAGGTGCTGCCTATCACCTGGCCCCTCCTCTCTGCCTCAAAGAGGGAGTGGATAAATGGAGATGAAAAAAATAATATATATATATACAGGTGAAACTTGAAAATTAGAATATCGTGCAAAAGTTCATTTATTTCAGTAATGCAATTTAAAAGGTGAAACTAATATATGAGATAGACTCATTACATGCAAAGCAAGATAGTTCAAGCCGTGATTTGTCATAATTGTGATGATTATGGCTTACAGCTCATGAAAACCCCAAATCCACTATCTCAGAAAATTAGAATATTACATGCAATCAATAAAACAAGGATTGTACATAGAACAATATCGGACCTCTGAAAAGTATAAGCATGCATATGTACTCAGTACTTGGTTTGGGCCCCTTTTGCAGCAATTACTGCCTCAATGCGGCATGTCATGGAAGCTATCAGCCTGTGGCACTGCTGAGGTGTTATGGAAGACCAGGATGCTTCTCAAGAGAGAATAAATTCAGTTCCTCTAATCTTTCCTCATAGCCGAGCTCCTCCATGCCTCCTATCAGTTTGGTTGCCCTTCTCTGTACTTTCTCCAGTTCCCCAATGATCTTTTTGTGAATTGGTGCTCAAAATTGAATTGCCTATTCCAGATGAGGTCTTACTAATGATTTGTACCGGGGGTAAAATGATATCTCTCTCTCTCTGGAGTCAATACCTCTTTAGAAACTGCAGCTTGGCATTGCATGCCATTATTAAGCTTGTGATCTACCAGAACTCCCAGATCCTTCTTCACCATTGATTCCCCCAGTTGTACCCACCCCCAGTATGTATGATGGATGCATATTCTTAGCCCCCAAGTGCATAACCTTACATTTATTAACATTAAACCTCATTTGCCACATAGTTGCCCAATTAAACAGTGCATTGATGGATTGGCTTGTAAATTGGAGGCATCTTATAAGGACGTTATTCCACTGCACAGCTTGGTGTCATCTGCAAAGACTGAATTGTGGTTTTCAATCCCAGACCCTATATTGTTTATAAATATATTAAAAAGCAAGGGTTCCAAACACTGAACCTTGCGGTACACCACTGACAACTCTAGACCATTCAGAGTATGAATCATTAACCACTACTCTCTGAATACAATCTTTTAGCCAGTTTTCTATCCATTTACATATGGATTTTCCTAGCCTGTAGACTTTACCTTACACATTAGCCGTGTGTGGGGAACTGTGTCAAATGCTTTAGCAGAATCCAGGTATACCACGTCCACCGCCACCCCTCTGTCCAAGGTTTTGCTCAACTCCTCATAAAAAGAAATCAGATTTGTTTGACAACTTCTGTCTTTCATGAATCCATGATGTATGTTAATTAAAATATTTTTTCCAGCAAGAACTCATCTATGTGGTCTTTTATTAAACTCTCCAGTATCTTCCCAACTATAGAAGTTAAACTAACAGGATTATAATTACTTGGTAAATATTTTGACCCCTTTTTAAATATAGGCACCACATTGGCCTTACGCCAATCCAGTGATACTATGCCAATCATTAAAGAGTCCCTAAAAATGAGAAACAATGGCTTTGAAATGACAGAGCTTAATTCTTTGAGGACCCATGGGCAGGGGCGGACTGACCATTTGTAACTTGGGCACTGCCCGGGGGCCCGGGTCAGTAGGGGGCTCCATGAGATGCCCCTGGTACCTTTTTCATAGGCTTTTTTGAGTTTGGGCAAGGACACAGGGGCCCCATGATCCCCTATTGCCCGGGGGCCCCATGAGTTGTCAGTCCGCCCCTGCCCGTGGGTGTATGCCATCCAGTCCAGGTGCTTTATTCACTTTTATTCTATCTAAATATTTCTGGATCATGTCAGTTGTGAGCAATTGTGTTTCAATCGTAATAAGCTCTGCCTGGTTTGAGATTACCAGGTCCAGCAGAGCATCATTCCTAGTTGGGGCCTCTATGAACTGGACCATAAAATTGTCCTGTAGTAGGTTTATACATTTTTGTCCTTTAACTGTTCCTGCAGTACCATTACTCCAGTCAATTTCTGGGTAGTTAGAATCCCCTATTATTATCACTGTCCCAGCCCTTTTGATCTGTGCAAGGAGCTGAGACTCCACCTCCTCATTAACACTAGGAGGCCTATAACAAACTCCAATGATTACCTTTGTAGTATGCACCCCCATGTGCAGTTCCACCCATAATGCTTCAGCCTTATCACACTCTCCATCAACTAGCTCCTGTTTCACACTTGCTCTGAGATCACTTCTCACATAGAGACAGACACCACCACCTTTCCTTTTTACCCTGTCTCTCTGAAAGAGAACAGCCAGGAATATTAATGGCCCAGTCATGTGAAGAATTAAGCCAAGATTCAGCAATACCAATTAAATCATAGTTCTGTTCATGCACCAAAGCTTCCAACTCACCTATTTTGCTTGGCAGACTTCTGGCATTGGTGAACAAACACATTAACACCTTGTGCACACGTATTTTGCATATTTTGTATTTTCATACAAATGGTACCAATTCCAATGGTTGCTTGTAACATGGGAACCTTCTTATCATCCGCCATAGCCCTCCCTCCATCTTTCCCCATTCCACCCACTAATAAGGACTGACCCCTGTCTGATCTATCTACCCCATTATAATCTAATTCTCCCTCCCCTCTTGATCCTAGTTTAAATACTCATCCAGCCGTCCCATAAACCTCTCCCCCAGCACAGCAGACCCCCTTCAATTTAGGTACAAACCATCTCTAGCATATAGGCTGCACCCCAATGAAAAGTCATCCTGGTGCTCTAGAAACCCAAATCCTTCCCTCTTACAACAAGTCTTTAGCCATGCATTTAGTTCTCTAATCTCCCCCTGTCTTTTCTGAGTTGCACATGGCACAGGTAATATTTCAGAGAATATCACCTTGGAGGTCCTTCCCTTCAACTTACAGCCTAGTTCTTTAAATTAATTCCTAAGGAGCCTCCACCTTCCAGGTGTTCTGTCATTGGTTCCAACATGGACCAAGACAGTTGGGTCATGCCCAGCTCTTCCCCAGTAATTTATCAACCCGGTCCACCACATGACGAACCCTGACACCAGGCAGACAGCAAACCATTCGGTTAAGGTGATCCTGGTGACAAATTATCTATCAGTCCTTCTGATTATAGAATCCCCTACTACTACCAACTGTCTAGGCCTTCCTGCACTACCCTCACCACCCCTCCCAGATGGTCTGCCCTCACGGCTGTTAGGGATAGCAGTGACATCCAGACTTCATGAACAAACTTCATGAGGGTGGCCTGAGGGCCCGACGTCCTCTAGTGAGCCCTGTGCTCACTGCCCAGCACCATAGAGCTTGACTGGCATTTGCCATTGAACACCAGAATTGGCAGGCCCACCACTGGCACCCTGTGCTTTTCACAGATGAGAGCAGGTTTACCCTGAGCACGTGACAGATGTAAAAGGGCCTGGAGAAGCCATGGAGAATGTTATGCTGCATGTAACATCGTTCAGCATGACTGTTTTGGTGGTGGGTCAGTGATGGTCTGGTGAGGCATATCTATAGAGAGACACACAGACCTCTACAGGCTAGACAGTGGCACCCTGACTGCCATTGGGTATTGGGATGAAATCCTTGGACCCATTGTAAGACCTTATGCTGGTGCAGTGGGTCCTAGGTTCCTCCAGGTGCACAACAGTGCCTCATGTGGTGAGAGTATGCAGGCAATTCCTGGAGGATGAAGGAATTGATACCATTGAATGGCCCCCATGCTTGCCTGACCAAAATCCAATAGAACACCTCTGGGATGTCATGTTTTGTTCCATCCGACACCGCCAGGTTGCACCTCAGACTGTCCAGGAGCTCAGTGATGCCCTGGTCCAGATCTGAGAGGAAATATCCCAGGACACCATCCGTCGTCTCATTAGGAGCATGCCCCGACATTGTCAGTCATGTATACAAGCACATGTGGGCCATACAAACTACTGAGTACCATTTTAAGTTGCTGCAATGAAATTTCAGCGAAATGGACTAGCCTGCTGCATTATTTTTTCACTTTGATATTTAGGGTGTCTTTGAATTTAGTCCTCTGTAGGTTGATAATTTTCATTTCCATCAAACAACAGTGCATCCTTACGTATCTAACACATTACCCAGTCCATATCAGTATAGATATCCAGCATGATATTTTTCCCCATTGAGGTCTGATGTGTTTTCAAAGTGTTAATTTCATTTTTTGAGCAGTGTTTGTATATATACACATACATACATACATACATACATAAACACACTATATTACCAAAAGTATTGGGACGCCTGCCTTTCCACGCACATGATTGTTAATGGCATCCCAGTCTTAGTCTGTAGGGTTCAATATTGAGTTGGCTCACCTTTGCAGCTATAACAGTTTCAACTCTCCCGGGAAGGCTGTCCACAAGGTTTAGGAGTGTCTATGGGAATGTTTGACCATTCTTCCAGAAGAGCATTTGTGAGGTCAGTCACTGATGTCGGATGAGAAGGCCTGGCTCACAGTCTCTGCTCTAATTCATCACAAAGGTGTTCTATCGGGTTGAGGTCAGGACTCTGTGCAGGTCAGTCAAGTTCCTACACCCCAAACTCGCTCATCCATGTCTTTTTGGACCTTGCTTTGTGCGCTGGTGCACAAACTTGTTGGAACAGGAAGGGGCCATCCCCAAACCGTTCCTACAAAATTGGGAGCATGAAATTGTCCAAAATGTCTTAGTATGCTGAAGTGTGATTCGTCACTCCAGAGAACACGTCTCCACTGCTCTAGGGTCCAGTGGTGGCGTGCTTTATATCATTGCATCTGACACTTTGCATTGTACTTGGTGATGTAAGGCTTGGATGCAGCTGCTTGACCATGGAAATCCATTCCATGAAGCTCTCTACACACTGTTGTTGTGCTAATCTGAAGGTTACATGAAGTTTGGAGGTCTTTAGCTACTGACTCTGCAGACAGTTGGCGACTTCTGCACACTGTGCGCTTCAGCATGCGCTGATCCCGCTCAGTCATTTTACGTGGCCTACCACTTCGTGGCTGAGTTGCTGTTGTTCTCAGTTGCTTCCACTTTGTTATAATACCACTAACAGTTGATCGTGGAATATTTAGTAGCAAAGAAATTTCACAGATGGACTTATTGCACAGGTGGCAACCTATCACGGTATAATGCTTGAATTTGCTGAGCTCCTGAGAGCGACCCCTTCTTTCACAAATGTTTGTAGAAGCAGTCTGCATGCCTAGGTGCTTGATTTTATACACCTGTGGCCACGGAGGTGATTGGAACACCTGAATCAAATGATTTGGAAGGGTGTCCCAATACTTTTGGCCATATAGTGTGTGTGTGTGTGTGTGTATATATACACACACACACACTGCAAAGGTACACACTGCAAAAGTAACCCAGGAGTTTTTGAAGGAAAAGAAGTGGAATATTCTGCAATGGCAGAGTCAATCACCTGATCTCAACCCAACTGAGCATGCATTTCACTTGCTGAAGGCAAAACTAAAGGCAGAAAGACCCACAAAGAACAACTGAAGACAGCTGCAGTTAAAGCCTGGTAAAGCATCAGAAAGGAGGAAACCCAGTCTTTGGTAATGTCCATGGGTTCCAGACTTCAGGCAGTCATTGCCTGTAAAGGATTGTCAACAAAATATTAAAAATGAACATTTTATTTATGATTATATTCATTTGTCTAATTACTTTTGGTCTCTTGAAAAATGGGGGGATGGCTACTCTTAAGAGCTATAATTCCTAAACCATTCCTCAAATTTAGATGTACATTTATTCAAATTAAACCTGAGAGTGTGCACTTTCAGCCACTATCCATTATATAACTATAGCTTGAATATGTTTTGGTAAACACCTGAAAAAATCTAAAATTGTGCCTCTGTCCAAATATATATATATGGACCTAACCATATGTGTGTGTACATTATTCAATTATTATAGTGTTATAGCGATATTGCGAGTTTCCTCTTTCTCTGTATAAAAAGGAGGTGGTGGCAGTGTGAAGGGGTTAATTGCGTAATTAACCTGACCCAGTAACAATAACGTCCAGGCTGCAGGTACATAGATTGTAGTCCAGTAGTTGGAAAATCTTTGTGCAGGGTGCAGCTGGGCGTGGTATTGTTAAGCACGTCACATCGCGGTTTGGATCGGCCAGTCCTTCGGTCACAAGTTTGGTGAGAAGGTCTGGGGTCTGACACCGCGATCATCATACATATATATATATATATATATATATATAAATATATATATATATTTATATATATATATATAATATATATATATTTATATATATATTTATATGCACACAAAATGTTTTACATGTTTGGTATATAGATTTTATCTATTTATACATTTATTTAATATATGCACGCATCTTACCACTTGCAAGTGTTTTGAGTTAGTATACATTTCGAAAGCTAGGTGCAGGATAACCTTTTACATACATTATAATATTAATAAGTATGCACAATTTGTTTGTTTTTATTATTATTTTCATCTTCATTGATCCCCTCCCCCTTTGAGGCAGAGGGCAGGGGCCATGTGATGGGTGGAACCTATAACATGATTAGTAGGGCACAAACCTTTTTCAGTTTTAGCTCGGAGGAAGGGGACATGTCACTGAAACATGTCAGCAGGCCTACCTCACCACCAGTCAGGTACTCTGCCATCACATTGGGCCATCTCAGTGGTTTTACATGCTTATATACGCATCTCATTTGATATGTTTTTCATTTTTAATTTTCCAATAAACCTTGGATAATGAGTTAGGTGTTTGCGCCCCCTGTGTGCTTCTTTTTCCAATCTCTAGATATTAGACTTTTGCTTGCTACTACGAATTTTCCAAAACTGGGATGCCTGCAGGCTCCTTTAGATTTTTCTTTGCTACCAACTCACTATTCTTCTGGGATAAGGACAGCAGTGGAGATACCTACTGTACAAACAGATATGTGCATCTGTTGTGTGAGGTCTCTACCTGGTGGAGATTACAAATTTATAGGTAGGTGACGGCCAGAGATGCCATAAAAGTGATATACTGTATAATCTTAAATCTGAAATTTAATTATATTTTGCCTCCTCTGATCCCTCTCACATGACCCCCCCTCCCCACACACACACACCTTATTAACATGCTAATACGAGGGTTCTTCAAAAGGTTTCTGCGCTTTTCTTTAACTTTATTATATATATATATATATATATAAGTATGGAAACTTTTTGATGACCCCTTGTAAAACGTTTAAGTAAAACCTATCTTTTTTTCATTATATACATTATTTTAGACCCAGCAATGTCATCACTGGGTGTTTCTGCTTCTCTATGTAATGCAGGCAGATCATGTCTGGAGGGAGGGGATGGCAGGGTGCTGCATGTAGCTTCCCGAAAACATCACAGAACCTTGCCTCAGTACTCCTTTTATGAGCCCTTATCCCAGATTCAAGCAGTAGGCTGGCTCTTTGGAGAATTTATGCAAATGTCAACATGCCTTCATGGGTGGGCATCAGTCTGAAGGAGTAGGCATTCCTAGGCAGACTGAATTTGAATGCAGACCACCCGACATAAAGCCTGGATTGAAATCCAATGAATGAAAGGGGCAAGCAAACGACAGTAAGGCTGAGGAGGAAAGCTCTGGTGAAGCTGGATGCCCTCCACCCAGTAAATGAGTAGGGCTCTATATGACTTGCTGCAGAAGCTCACAGTGTGCAGTAAAATACAATCAAAATATGCAATTTCTAGTGATGGAGAGGAGACTGTATAACTGTGCAAGACTGAAAGTAAGGTTGGAGGTTAGATTTAGTTGGAAATTGCTAGATTTTAATATATATACAACTATATACAGTATATATACTATATATATATCAACTAAGAGTTTATATTTAATCAGTAACAGAATATTGACTTGCCTTGCATCTGCAATATATATGAGTGCAAACATGAAAGCATCCAGAAAAGAACAGACAGTGATTCAGTGACAAAGCTGGAAGAAACGGTATAAAGCTAAACTATCAGGAAATTAGAGAGTGGATGAAAAGGAGAAATGGATAAAATGGTAAGCGAGGTAAAAATTTACTTGGTGAAAGACTTCTCTAGAAGCAATGAATAAAAGGTAGAGTTACTAAGCAATAAAGGTTTATTACAGTTCTAACATTCAAATATCATTTAATATCACATAGAGCAGGATTTTCATGATATGTCATTGACCGCTGTCCATAGTTGTTTTCGTTTTCGGGTATTGTTCATAACTGATAATGCATGGCACATAACATATGCTTTCCTAATGAAACCTCATTCTTTTATAAACTACAGGGGATAAACCTAAAAATAATAACAAGTGCAAACATTCAGAAACCTCTGGAGTGCCACATGGACTTTCCAAGTTATCGATTGAGCAGACCAGTTGGAGGCACAGTACGGGGTAAGATTATATAAGAATAAAGCTGTTTCTGACAAATATTTTCTTCAAATCCAGGCCTGCTGTATTGCTAGTGCTATAGCTGCCCATACTGATCCATTGGTGCCAGAAGGTAAGAAGTTTGCAGTACAGGACTTTTGTCTCCCTTTACCTACTTGAACAAACAATGCCTGGAGGTAGTGGCATAACTAGAATGTTCAGGGCATCTTCAAGAAACCGTGAAGGGCCCCCTTCCCTCTGAACTTTGTGACCCTGGTGGTTACACCAATGGTGTCAGTAGTTTTTTTTTTTTTTTTTTTTTTTGTTGCCATTGTTCTAGGAGCCCTGTTGGGGGGCTTTGATGAAATATCAGGGATCTAAACAGACATGATGTTCACCTTTGAGACAAAGAAAGGAGATTGAGAAAACAGCCCTCAATCTCCATCGCTGCAGCCTCAATGAGATAGATGTGGGCACCTGTACTGTTTTTCCTTCAAACATTTTGGGGAAAAAAAAGTCTATTTGTGTATTTTAGCCTCTGTATCTCTTTTTTGTATGTTCTGTACTGTGGCTTCTCTTCCCAGAAACAATCAATTTATTTACAAGGCTATCATGACAGACAAGCCATGCACACCCAGGCAGCATAGAGGGAGAGCACCAAAGTATTCAGGGCAGGACTGAGAACCTTTGACTTAGGAATCAATCCAACCAACTAGCCTTTCATGATAATTTTTCTTTGGGCTAAATAAAGTGTATTACGGCACTACATTTCTTGATGGGCATAGTGAAAAGTGGTGTTCAGAAAGGACACGGCTTATTGTGACACACCTACTGTACCAGAAATGGCTCCTTGGTAACATGACAACACAGTGTTTTAAGTCTTTCCTCTGGCAAACCCTTTGATTACAGGACTAAACAGGGAGCAGGTAGATTTTTGATTCCCACCATGTGTTGATATCTGCACAGTGAAATCACTCCACCTGAGGCAACCAACTTACTACATAATATTAATCCTTGCTCAGGTGTAAATGCCCCCAGCCCAACATCCCTTTGGATTTTTAAAGGGTCACTATGTAGGACTGAGTGTATGGAATCTCCACCTTAAAAAGCCTTTAAAAATATAGGTAAGTGTATATAGAGGGATTATGGAGGAGTAATGACACCAACATGCTGAGGTCATGCCTGGAGATCTGGAGTTAGTTTAATTTCTGCTCCAGATGAAGAGAATCAGTGAGGGTACAAATGTGTGATGTCATTGCCGACTTGTTCAAAAAGGTAACGGCTCTGGGCCTGATATCATGCTACTGACACATCTTCCGAGTAAGTCACTAATCTGGAACAAGCACGCAGTCAGTGATAAGTCCACCCCTCATGCTTGTTCCTAGTTTGTCATTGACTAGGTAGTAATGCTAAGATAAGGATAACAGCCCTGAAGCCTACACCAAAAAGATAAGTTCCCCTTTTGCAGGTAAAAAGATGTGCATTTACTATTTTTTGTTTTGGGAGATCTGCAGATCGCTGGTGCCATGCAAATCTCCTGCACACTGTCAGTGTATCTGTGTGCTCCTACCTCGGATGGGCAGGCAGCTACACGCTGACAGGAATACTGTTTTTTTTTTTTTAAATTGTGACAGCTTGCGGGGAGAGAAGATTCCCCCGCTACCTGTCAAAATGGGGGATTGGGGTCTGGTCCTTTCATAACATGTTGCACCCTGAATATGGGTGTAACATATAACATATTTTGAAAGGTGAACTTGTCCTTTATGTCCTCTCTAGTGTAAGTCTATCCCATCAGTGTTTGACCTTTCCCCCAAAGCCTCACCACATATGGCCTTACATATAAAAGGTTATAAATGGATGGAGTTCTCAGCAGAATTTTTCTTTTTTTCCAGGCAAGGTTGTAAAGCTTAGAGAAGGACCTGGTTACCATGGATACAAAAAACATTTCCCTTTCAGTTATGTTTTATAATGTATGGTCAGCAATGGCCCAAAACATAGAGCATCACATAGAACAATGGGATGTGGGGAGGTAAAGTTCTCCTGTGGATTCCTGAAATGTCTGGTCACACACTTTACTCAGAACCCTCAATATAAATAAGTATATACATGCATTTACTTTATCAACTTTTTCTTCAGCTGATACATATAGAGCAAGATCACCTGGATCAAAAATGTCTAAGGTAATAAATGGCATAGAGCATACGGAACAAGAGAAAGAGAAAGAAAAAGAGCCCATCCGAACGTATTTCCCTGAAACCTGGATATGGGAACTTATAGCAGTAGGGTAAGTGTCAATTTGCTCAGCTGTGGACTTAACGCTTTGTACTGCTCCATTCTGAAGAGTTTGGGGAGCTATTTTCAGCCTAGAAGAATCAGGACATGTCAGTTGCAGCATGCATACACTGCCATCTGGCCATTTAAAGTAACAGTACTGGAATTTTGGGCATTGTTAAAGGAGAGGTACAGCCAAAGCTTGTTTGGCTGTACTTCTGTAGTTCACTGAAGCCCGCTGTCAGATGACATCACAGAGTCGCTCCAGGCTGAGGGCAGATCCCAAAAATATGGTCGGGATCCAAACAGAAGTTTGGACCAGCACCTGGCTCAGCCTCTTATCGACCGCTGGGAGCCTGAGCCAGCCTCCCCCACCACCCTATGAGCGTGTGTATGTGTGTGTCTGTGGGGGATTTAGGTCAAAGGGGTGGGGGGAGGAAGAACACAGTGGTGGCTGAGTGATCAGTGGACTTTGATCGCTCAGTTCTCAGTCTTTAGGATTGGTGGGTACAGGTGCAGCATTGGACCGATACTGCATCAACCTTGGTAGGAATGATTTTCTAAAAAAAAAACAAAAAAAACAAAAAACATAACCCATACTCTTTTAACTACAAATGAATGAGATAACATGTTTTACACGTTGAAAGTGTTAAAATCAAACACTTCAGACCATTTTGTGAGGAAATGGCAGTAAAAACACAAAACAAATTTTCTTACACTTATACAAACTATGTATACATTGCAGGAGCAGACCCTTCCGAGTCTTTTCTGGAAGCAATTTGAATAATGCCATGAAATCATCTGTTGTAAATTTGACACACATAAAAGCACCAATTTGATTAAATATGTCTTTTAGCTTCTAAAAAAGAAACCTAATTCAGCAACAAACAGCTTGTACTAAAACTCAGCTCTGTTAAAAAAAAAAAAAAAGGTAGAGTTAGCTCAGACAGCACTCAGTGCAACCACCCCATCATAGCACACATGTTCTTAAACTCATGGGGAAGTACACTTTGGCATATTCATCTTAGGTGCTAGAGGACCTCATCTAGGTACTGATTACCAATATATTTAAAAGCACCACAAGGTGTCTGCCTTTTGCCCCTATTATTAGATTGGTTACCTATGATGAACTTCACATTAAAAAAACAAAGTGTAACAGATTGGTCCTTACTAGTCAGTAGATATGGTGGCTGTATTCGCTTTAATTTATCTATCCTTTGTTTTCACCTGATGATACTGCCAGTAACATACTTTCTGTCCTGTGGTGGTTATGCTCACCCACTGCACTCTATCTATGGAGGAGCAGCATTTTTGACACTTGACATTGTTGGACTGTAAACAGCTTCTTTCATTGCCTATATAACATAGGGAGAAGTGATTATGTAACCCACAGAAGATAGCTAGGGAAAGCTGTTAAAATTTTTCAGTTCAGTGCACAGGAAGATACAAGTACACTGACAGGATCAACAGGTATTCTTTACTTGCAGACAATGTATTTGACACAACAAAGAAAACAAATGCAGCCAGCAAACGCAATGACTGGTATATGCAATACATTACATTGCTGTTCTTGCATTTAGATATACAGTTAGGTCCATATATATTTGGACACAGGCACAATTTTAGATTTTTTTTCAGGTGTTTACCAAAACATGTTCACGCTATTGTTATATAATGGATATGGGTTGAAAGTGCACACTCTCAGGTTTAATTTGAGGGTATGTAATTCCAAATTGGAGGAAGGGTTTAGGAATTACAGCTCTTAAGAGTAGCCATCCCCCCTTTTCAAGGGACCTAAAGTAATTGGGCAATTGAGTCAAAAGCTGTTTCCTGGCCAATCAATTCATCAATTCATCAATTAAGCAGGTAAAAGGTCTGGAGTTGATTCTAAGTGTGGTATTTGCATTTGTAATCTATTGCTGTGAATGTACATCATGTGTTCAAAGGAGCTGTCCGTGCAAGTGAAACAGGACATTGTAAGGCTCCAAAAATGGAACAAATTCATCAGAGAGATAGCAACAACATTAGGAGTGGCCAAATAAACAGTTTGGTACATTCTGAGGAAAGAAGAATGCACTGGTGAGCTCAGCAACATAAGAAGGCATGGATGCCCACAGAAGACAACAGTGGTGGATGATCACAGGATCCTCTCTATGGTAAAGGAAAAACCCATTCACTACATCCAGACAAGTGAAGGACACTCTCCAGGAGGTGGGCGTATCATTGTCAAAGTCTACAATCAAGAGAAGAGTTCACGAGAGTAAATACAGAGGGTTAACCACAAGGTGCAAACCATTCATAAGCCTGGAGAATAGAAAAGCCAGATTAAACTTTGCCAAAAAAACATCTAAAAAAGCCAGACCAGTTCTAGAGCCAAGAAAACATCTAAAAAAGCCAGACCAGTTCTGGAAAAGTATTCTTTGGATGGATGAAACTAAGATTAATCTGTACCAGAATGACGGGAAGGAAAAAGTGTGGAGAAGGCTTAGAACAGCTCATGATCCAAAGCATACAATGTCCTCTGTAAAACATGGGGGGGGGGGGGCAGTGTGATGGCATGGGCATGCATGGCTTCCAGTGGCACTGGGTCATTGGTGTTTATTGATTATGTGACAGAAGACAGAAGCAGCTGGATTAATTCTGCAGTGTTTAGAGATATGCTGTCAGCCCGGATTCAGCCAAATGCAGCAAAGTTGATTGGATGGCATTTCACAGTACAGATGGACAATAATTCAAAACACACTGCAAAAGCAACCCAAGAGCTTTTGAAGGAAAATAAGTGGAATATTCTGTAATGGCCAAGTCAGTCACCTGATCTCAACCCAATTGAGCATGCATTTCACTTGCTGAAGGCAAAAAGAAAAGGCAAAAAGAGCCACCACAACAAAGAACAACTGAAGACAGCTGCAGTTAGAGCCTGGCAAAGCATCAGAAAGGAGGAAACCCAGTCTTTGGTAATGTCCATGGGTTCCAGACTTCAGGCAGCCATTGCCAGTAAAGGATTCTCAAGAAAATATCAAAAATGAACATTTTATTCATGATTATATTCAATTGTCCAATTACATTTGGTGCCTTAATAAAGGGGAGAAGGCTACTCTAGCTGTAATTCCTAAACCCTTTCTCCAATTGTACATAACCTCAAATTAAACCTGAGAGTGTGCACTTTCAGCCCATATCCATTAAATAACTATAGCTTGAATATGTTTTGGTAAATACCTGAAAAAAACTAAAATTGTGCCTGTGTCCAAATATATATGGACCTAACTGTACTTTAGGAATCAGTCCATGTCTGGTAGAGGATAGTTTAGCGTGGAATCGTCAACTATTTAAGCGTCATTCCTTTATTTGCCATATAGGCAAAAGATTTTGTGTCAATATAGGAATCAAACCATCTACTGTCATTAAAATAAAAAATGTATATTTGTTTAGACAGGCCAGTAAGGAAAAGGGCCATATAAGTTTACAATAATAAAACTAATTACATCATCAAAGTTCTATTTCTTTCCTCAGTGATGTCCAGGTATAAAATTACAGACAAGTGATCCCCTTTATGCAATATACAGCCAAAAGTTTGTGAACAACTGACCATCAAACCTATAAAGGTTTGTTGGACATCCAAATCCAAAACCATGGGCATTAATATGGCATACCCCCCACCTGCTTGTGCCTATAACAAGATTTTGTTGTTGCGTCTGTGAGCATTTGTGCCCATTTAAACCTGATCACATGGGTGAACCATTCCGTACACCCGTATGAAGGGCTGTCTTTACCCATCTGAAATGCACAGGTATTCCAAGCAGTCCTGTGCAGGCAGCCTGCTGAAATCAATGACAGCGGGCCTGCATGAATCTCCAAGTGTATCCGAGGTGTACATCTAAGCCGGTCCGATGCACAGATTACAACACAGTCTATTATAGCCAGCCACCTGCATTGATTTCAAGAGCCTGCCATCAATGGGCTGCATGGAACAGCTGTACATCTAGTTCAGGTGAAGACAGCCCTTTGCACCAGTGTTCACACTAGTGCGAGTGGAAGCCGCTGTGGGACCCGCACTTGGTCCCGCAACTGCAGCCACCCGCACATAAAATGCAAGACCTGTGGCAGGTGCGATTAATCTTACCACACTGGAAATCGCACCCTGTTTGTACCGTTAGTGTGGTTTTCAGTGCGGGCTGAGATTTCTGGAAAGGTCCAGGGACCTTTTCCCTGTATTTTGCGATTGGGCTGTTGTGCCAGTGCACTAGTGTGAACTGAGTCTAAGCCAGAAGTTTGATCAGTCACAACAAATACTTAAAAATTTTTTTTAAAAAAGATATGTTTGTGAGGGCAGCTTCTGACCTTGAACAAGACCTGGCTCACAACACCTGGTTGCAACCCATCCCAAAGGTGTTCAGTAAGAATGAGAGCCGAGCTCTGTGAAGGTCGCTTAAGTTCTATTACACCAAATTCGACAAACCAGATCTTTACGAACCTGGCTTTATGAACAGGGGCAAAATCATGCTGGGAAAAATGGGCCTCCCCCAAACAATTGCCACAAGGTTGGTAATCCACAATTGTGTGAAATGGCTTTGTATGTTTCAGCAATAACAGTAAGCTACTGTATAGTTGAAACACCCGAACACAATAATTTGAAGGGCTGTCCACATGCTTTTGACCACATAGTAGACATGAAAGTCAAGTGTTCACAAACCTTTGGCCATACAGTTTATTTAAAGACAAGCTGAGTCAAATGATCCAATTTTAAACCAAAGCGGAGTGAAGGATATAGAGCACCAAGAAGAAAACCCCAATGCCTCAGGCTCCATGCACACCAGTGTTTTTATACCACAAAATATTTTTTTATTACCACTTGAATCTTTATTAGGGTGGAACCTGCACTCACTTTCTCTTCATTCTGACACCCATTAAATGAATGGGAAGTGGGGAAAGCTCCTATGTATGCAGTGTGTCAAATTAATCAACATGCAGCTAAGGGGCCAGTAGAAAACATTTTTTTTCAAGCCATTGGAAGAAGGAACCTGGCTACAATAAATAAAGTTTTTTTATACTCCAGCTTTTGGCTACTTTTATTAGTATAACTTTATATTCTTTGTTGTTCTTTGTCTTGTCCAGAGACTCTGGCAGTACTCACTTCCATCGTAAGACTCCAGACACCATCACAGACTGGAATGCCGGGGCCGTATGTTTGGGTCAGAGTGGATTTGGCCTGTCTCCTCCTGTCTCTCTTCGGGTCTTCAAGCCATTCTTTGTAGATCTCACCCTCCCATATTCTGTAGTGAGAGGAGAAACTTTTACTCTTAAAGCCTCTGTGTTTAACTATCTCAAGCAGTGCATTAAGGTTAGTTAAACTGAAGTAATGTGAATGATATTAATCTACTTAATCTCAGACTTGCCTTCAGTAAAGCATTACTAAACCCAGGACCCTGCACTCAGTATATTTGGTCTCCCACAGTAACAGAACATTGAAGTGCAATTCTTTTAGTAAATATAAAACTGCTAAAATTCCTTTTTTCATCAGCAGTATATAGCAGTCTTCTGACTTCTATCAGTGTCAGATGGAGCACTGGTTAATATTGTAGGAGGAGTTTTTATTTGTAATCTGACTGTCCTATGAGGCTGCAAGACCCCTGACCCTCTAGTGCTGATTGGCCCTGTGCCGATCACATGCACCCTCAAAAAAAAAAACTCCCTAGCAATACACACCAAACACCAGACTTGTCACTGCTCTGGATTAGGGACAGTAAAAGGAGAGGATCAGAGAAAACAGGATCAAGCAGCCTTTTTACACAAAAGCAGAGGATTAACCCCTTAGATTCCAAAGTGAGTATAGCAAGCATGATTTACTGCATATACAGAAAGATTTTACTGTTGTGGGTTTAGTAATACTTTAGGGCTTTGTCCACACAGGTTTCTAATTATAAATGATAATATAAGGAGCAATTTACAGAGCTTTCAGCAATCTTCAAACAGCTTTCTTGAAGCCCTGAAGTGGTGTAGAAATGCTCACAAAGGCTCCATGCGTCACAATGCTTTGTGGTGCACTAAGCCAGAAAAAAATAGTGCAGGTTCATTTTCTGGTCCGTTGTGTTGCATTGGCAGCACATTCATATAACTGGGCTACTTTAATATACCGGTATATTAACATGCAACATAACACACCAGACCGGAGCAGATGTAAACAGGGCCTTATATGAGATCAGTGGAGATGCATTTGACAATGTAAAGCATGTTGAAACAAGTCAATGCATGTTGGCACTTAGCGTGCATTATGCATAATGTACATTACCATGTGTTTTGCACATTTTCCATGTGATGAAGCAACAGCCAACTGGAGACTGGAAACGTCACTCACAGATCAATGTACATATTTACCTGCACACCATAGATCTTCAAATCATATTCAATGGTTTTATTCAAAGTGATCACATCACAGAGGAAGAGTACAATTTTTCAGGGCCATGCACATGCCTGATTAAGGGGTCCTGCTCGGCCTGTGCAACATTGCACTCTTCCTCTGTGATGTGATCACTTTCAATGAAACTTTTGGATATGACTTGAAGAAGATCTTTGGTCTGCTGGCAAATTATGTATGTACATTGACTGCAATGCACATTGATGTGAAATGTAAAGAACAGTGCAGCACATGTCAAAATGCATGACAGGGCATAATTATTGCCAATATTTGATATTGTTATTTAAAGCATGCATAGGTATTTTATTTGGTTTAATAAAGTCCCTATATGTATTTTTATATTACAAACTGATAATGCTTTTTTTTGGTTGAATTCCAAGTGAGCAATTCGACAAATGAAATAAACATATGAAAGCCCATAATGTTATAAAGTTGCAGCTTCTCGGAAATAACTATCACATTTGGAGTACTTGTGAAAACATCAATGTGTAAACTTTATTTTATGGTAGTTTTTAAAAATTTTTGCTGACAGATTAAAGTCACGCTGGGCCCCACGAAGGAGTTAAATCCGACACCTTGTACAGACTGTACTTACAGCTGCTGTCTGTGTGCCGATGAAAGCAAAACCTTCTACTGGAACCTGAAAGCCACCAAACTGGGTGAGAAGGGATTTTTCAATCCAAAATTAGACATTGTTTTACTCATGGTTTACTAGAGAATTTGTTGTCCAGTCCTTATCATCAATACTAGTAAAGGAAAATTACTATATTCCATTCATATTAATCTACCCATGAACAGTGGGACATATTTTTAGAGAGGCAGTCAATTTGTTTTAATAGGACTTTGCTGAAATATCAGTTTCAGTTAGTTCCTGCAGTTTATTAAAATTGTATTCAATACTAATTACTATTAATGCAATTTTTAGAGCCAGATTTATACTTTCTGCCCAACAAGGCACATTTTTTTGCCAACCCACTACTACCATAGTTGACTGGCTAGTTGTTGTATCACATTAGCAAGATTAGATGTCACAGTCATTTGTTAACAAATTGTGTATGGTGTATTATGTGGAGCTTGGGGTCACCAGCTAGCTGCTTTTAAAAATAAAAAACAGCCCTTATTGTTTGTATAAGGCAAGCACATAAACCGCTTTCTTCAGCAAAAGTAAATGTAAACAGTCCATAATTCTGGCATCATGAAAAACAACACAATGGCTCACCACCAGTATACCCATCCACACCAGGGTTTAAGGTTTCTGACTGCTTTAGGGTGCAGCAAGGCTTCAGGGACTCAGCAAACCGTGTTTCAGTCACCAGCCATTCCACGTTTTCTCACAGCTGTGACCTGCATCACACGCCACCTCGCTGACAGGTGCTGACTCCTTCTTGTCCCCTGTAGGAGGGTTACACCTTTCAGGACCAAAGTCCCCAGGATTGGAGGCTCTATCTCAACCAAAGTCTCTCTAAGTCTCCAAATTCTGAATCCCATATAGAGACTTACCAATCCTGGGCAAACCGCAAGTCAGTTTACCCCCCTTTCCAACAGGAACCCCTCATCCTGCATGCGTGAGAACACCTTAGTACTCCTAAGTGCATTCAAGTCCCCCCCTTAAAGGAACCGTAACCCAAATAATGGGGACACACATTTCCCATCCAGGATGTATCCCTGGTCTCTTTTACAATGGGTGGCTGTGTGCCATCCCTGACAGCCCTGCCACTCTAAGCCATGGCCTATGTTACCTATGCAGAAATTTCTGAATTAGCTATTTTTGCTGAGCTTCAAATTTAAATGCATTTCACTTTGCTGCCCATTGCTCAATAAACTCAGTGGTATTTACAAAGAAGAGCTATATGATTTTTATGTATTTGATTGTCATTGCTGGTGTCAACTTTTTCTATAGACATTTTGGTAATTAGCCTGGTTATATCAAGAGTTTCCACAGAACCAATTTTGTTACTTGTATCAAGGACAGAACAATTATAGTATATATTTTATTAAATTCAATGCTAATTTAACCCCTTTATGCCCAAGGGTAAAACAAATCTTAAAGCCTAAGCACAATTTTGCAACTTTGACATGTGTTCACAAAACTGTACAAATCATCACAACTACTTTGTGAATACAGGTGGATTATACCTTGTTATTTTTAGGACAAATTGGGCTTTCATTTGGTGGTAAATAGTAATGGGTATATCCTGATTTTTTTTTTTCTTATTATTATTATCAAAGCAAAACTGACCCAAAATCATGAAAAAAAAAACATTTTTTAATGTTATTGTTATTTCTTGCTACTATCATAGCCAACCACCAAAGAACAACCCAAAATAATTTTTCCTGCTCCTGATGATTGCAGTGATACCACATGTGTGTATGCTAGTTGTTGTTTGCACCCGTAATACGGCCCAGAAACATTAGTGCACATTTTGCTTTTTACTTCTTATCCTGCCACTGCCACTGATACTAATTTAAAAAATAAAAAATAAAAATACTAACCCTGGCACTCACCTAGATCAAACCTTGATCTAGGTATTTTTATTTATTTTTTTTATTATTATTTTTATTTTCTTACAAACACTTTTTTTGCTCTCTGAAGGGACAGAGAGAGATTCAATGTATCTCTCGCCTCCAGAGAAAGAAAACAAGGGGGGCGGGCTTCACAGTGACTGATCATTGTAATGTCTACACAGGCTTTCACAGCAATCATGTGACCCAGTTTTGGGAGTTCTAATGATCGGGACCCGGGGCTCATACTGACACACCATTCTCTGTGCCGGGAGCGCACCGCGTGGCGCACTCCTAGCAAAAAAGGCAGGTACACAAATTAGCAGCCCCATGGAAAATAGCCCAGTCCAATTTGCGTACACTCAGCGCCAAGGGGTTAAAGTGAACCTTTATTAGTTATATGCCTATATGTGATGATTCATTTTTTCCCAGGAGAAGTAAACATTACAGTGCGAACTGAGGCTGTGAACACTGAAGAGTTGTGTCAGAATGAGATACCGATTGTTCCCAAACAAGGGGCCATTGATACCATTGTAAAACCCTTACTTGTACAGGTAAGTGACCAGAAGTGGCGTTACATTACATGTTCATAACAGTTGTTTAGTTTAGGCTGATCCAAAATAATCAATTAATTATAGGAAAGAGACTAACACACTTCTGAAGATATTAGTACTCTCTGAGCACTGTTCTTTACCCAAAATCATGTACACCCTTGTAGAGACTGAGTAGATGAGGGGACTTCTCTTGCATCTCTGCCCAACACTCTTGAAGCTGGTGACAGAGTTGAGAGGGCATAGAGTGGCATGACTGCTTGAGTTGCATGCTGTACCAGATCTGTGTTGTTTCCAGGTGTAAGGAGTAGAGAACTGAGGTTCACAGAGCAGGAACCAAGCTCCGGAACACTGTGGTATTGCAGCAGGTTATAGGAACTACGTTGAGGCTGTTGCCAAGGGTGGATACCGTCAGGCAGTGGGGTATCAGAAGGGAAAGATAGAGTTGGAGCACAAACTGAGGTCAGGAACAGTTGAGCAGCATAGTACTAAATCAGGAAGCAAATACAAAGTTCAGGAAACAACACAAATTCAGTAACAGCTGGGCAAAGTACAAGGCAGAAGGTAGGCCAAAGTCACAGCAAAGAGGCAAAAGCCCAGAGAAAGGTTGGAGGCAAGCCGGGTCATGTACAGTAAGGTAGAATCAGTAGATCAAGTCTCAGGTAGAAACATAGAAATGTGATGGCTGAAAAAAGAAAAGAAAAGTGGGCCACCAAGGTTGCCCTTTTTTTTTTTTTTTCTTTGTTTATACACGTTTTTGTATTTTTTTTCGTTACCTTTTTTGTCCAAGTATAGATCTAGGTTTATCCCAGGAATTTTTGGCGCTATTTACTGTTGACTGGCTCACTACCTCTGTTGCAAATTTATTCCAACTACCCTTTCAGTAAGGTAATATTTTTCTAAGATTAGTTTTGAACTTTTCGTCAGGTAGTTTAAGGTCATGTCCCCGTATTCTTGATTTTGATTTCATATTAAAAATACTGCCCTCAGGAACCTTATTCACCATAATGTATTTAAAGTTTTTATTTGTGTCTACCCCTTTCCCTTCTTTCCTTCAGACTGTACATATTAGGTTCCTGAAGTCACTCCTGATATGTTTTATCCCTCAGACCTTTCACTATTTTTGTTGCCTTCTTTGGACTCATTGTATCGATCAATATATTTTTTGTAAGCAAAGGCTCCATAACTGGACACAGTATTCTAAATGAGGTCTCACTAAAGATCTATATAGGGGAATCAGGACCTCCTTCTGTACAGTAAACAGGAACAAGCTGAAGCCCACCAAGTAACTTCCTTCTGCATTGTGTCAGTGTATATAGGCTACTGGGTGGCGATATCAGTGCCAAACATGCATGCTAATCTTTGCGCTAGCATGCCTGCTTGGTAATTTGCGTATGGCAGTTACCCTATGCATGCGCACATACTTAAGCCTGCACTGGCTGCCATACACTACTGAAGTAAATCCATCCTTCCTTACACCCAATAATCAGCCAATATTTATATTTAATCAAAAATATTCAAATGGTAATAATCAATCCTATAATCTTCAGAGAGGTGACATGCAACCTTGTCTTAGTATGTCCATATATGTCCTGGTTTACTCTAAAATAGGTAGGTGTACCTCTAGTCTGTATCTGTTCAGTAGTAACATGTCTTCTATTAAAGCCATCGCCAGATGTTCTCACATTGTGACATCTTTGTTCGACTTACTTCTTCTGACAGCCCGGAGGAGTTCTGGTGGAGAAATCGCACAGCTCTCTGCTCTGCATCCAAGAAGAAGGTGAGGAGAACATTACTGGGAACAGCAATCAACTGTAAATTCTTATCAAAAATATTCTTGTTCAGGGGCGGACTGACAACTCATGGGGCCCCCGGGCAATAGGGGATCATGGGGCCCCTGTGTCTTTGCCCACACTCAAAGCACACCCAAAAAAGCCTATAAAAGGTACCAGGGGCATTTCATGCGGCCCCCTACTGACCCCAGGCCCTCAGGCAGTGCCCGAGTACTCGAATGGTCAGTCCGCCCCTGTTCTTGATAGTTCTTACGGTGAAGCAGGTGACACACTTAATCATCTTATGTATACTGTATGTCAGGGCTAATCAGACTTTCTCACCTGCTGCAACATGGAAAAAGGAGGGGCTTTGTGGGATGGGGTGGGGTCTATGTTGCTCACCCAATAGATAAAATATCACCTGGCCTTTGTCCACTGTAACTTCACATGATAGTTGACTCAGCGGTAAATACCTGACAAACTCCAACCCATCACCACTGTAGCCAAAGGTAGAAAAAAAAGTATTGGTAGGAATTTAATTTAATTTTGTTGTAATAATTTAAATGGTCTGAGGTCCTCATTTTTATATTATCATTATGCATATGTGCATGTGGTTGTTTATTTTTTGGAACTTTTATCTCTCATGTTGATATTTCAGATAACACTAAGACAGAGGATGTTTCCCTAAAGGTTCCTATGGACATTCTGAAGGACTCTGAAAGAGCTTATGTGACTGTGTTGGGTGAGAGAAAGAAATTTACTTAGCAATGAGCATAGCATTTTAGAAGTATTGCACCCTAGGCTGAGATTTCTGACATAGACTAAATGTATTACAGCAGTGTAATTTTTTAAACTGACCTCATCACAGATGTTAGTGATCCTGGTCAAAGCTTAATATGAAAAGTAACTGCAGAAAATTCATTGTCTTGTCTAAAATTCTTAATTTGGAAAAGTCACAATTACATTCCAAACATCAATTTTTTAGCCTAGACCTCAAGATGGTGCTCAAGTTGATGTTTTTCCACTAACATTTAACACAGTGGCTAAATGGTTAGCACTTCCACCTGGCAGTACTAGGGTCATTGGCTCAAATCCCAACCACTGCATCACTTGCCTAGAGTTTGCATATTCTCCCTGTGCCTGCATGGGTTTCCTCCAGGTACTCCGGTTTCCTCCGACACTCCAAAGATATGCTGGTAGGTGAATTGGCTCCGGTCTAAATCGGCCCTAGTATGTGTATGTATGAATGCAGGTTAGGTAATTTAGATTGTACACCCCTTGAGGGTTAGGGACTGATGTGAATATATAATATAAATATATATGTAAAGCGCTGCATACATTGTTGATGCTATATATGTACATATAATAAATTATTCTTTCCTATACTTTAACCTTACAGGAGATATTATGGGCACAGCATTGCAAAACCTGGACCGTCTACTGGCCATGCCATATGGGTGTGGAGAACAGAACATGGTCCTCTTTGCCCCCAATATCTTCATTCTGCAGTATTTGGAAAAGACTCATCAGCTAACCGATGAGATCAAGAGCAAAGCCATCAAGTTCCTAGAGAGTGGTGAGACTTTATATGTAGTGCGGTTTCTTATTTATTAAAAAAAAATATTTCTTCCAATATACCGTATTTTCCGGCGTATAAGACGACATTTTAACCCCTGGAAATCGTCTACAAAGTCGGGGGTCGTCTTATACGCCGGGTGCTGTGCTGAAACCTTACCGTACTTCCGGGTTGACGCTACTGCGCATGTCTTCGGCAGCAGTAGACGATCGCGGATCACCGTAGCTCGCAGAACTGCATGAGACGTCGGATGCAGCAGTGCTCGATTGAGCTTGACTGAAACTGTGATATGCAGAGAAGAGATACACAGTGATTCTGCGCATGTCACAGTTTCAGTCACGATCAATCGAGCACTGAACGGCTGCATCCGACGTCTCATGCAGTTCTGCGAGGAATGGTGATCAGTGATCGTCTACTGCTGCCCTAGACATGTGCAGAAGTGTCAGCTCGGAAGTACCGGTATGGTACTGCTGCATCCGACCTTGTCCCCTTAACTTCTATGAGATACGGTAATTATTAATATTATAATGTCTGTGGCAGTTCTGTGCAATTTATGGTATCTTGGAGACAGGCAGGGCTGGGCAGGCAGGGAGAGCTGACCCACCCAATCCAAGCAGGCTTTGTATGCAGTGTGCACAGTGTGCACAGAAAATACTGGTACATTGCTTGCCGTGATTGGTTGGAAGAGGGGGGTAGTCTTATACGGCGAGTATAGCCCAAACCCTATATTTTAACAGGAAAAGTAGGGGGGTCGTCTTATACGCCCAGTCGTCTTATACGCCGGAAAATACGGTAAGTCTAAAATATCTGCTAGTGTGAACATTTGCAATGCTTGTCAGATAATCATGCTATAAAACAAATATGGCCAAATTGGATAAATCTGTAGTGAAGTGTGATTTGTAAAGATGATTCATCTCAGAACCCCAACGCTCAGCCGCCATACAGCAGTTATATCACTGGGAACATTTCAGCAAAATATACTGTAAGTGATTGGCCATGCGGAATATTACAAATTATGCTGCATTCACACTTGAGCAATTTCTAGCTCGAAGCTCCAAAAACGAGCAAGCTTAAAAAAATATTTTGTTCTCTGTGGTGCTTGTTCATGTGATCAGGGGGTGAACAGGCACCATGAGAACAATTTATTTTTGAAGTTTTGCACTTTTTTGGAGTTTTGAGCTTCAAGCTACAAAGTGCTCAAGTGTTGTTCTCATTTATTCTTGGGACAGCCATCATTAAAAGGAATAATGCAATCTGAAACCGTTTGGTAACACACCATTGTGTTGAGAACCTCTTTGCTCTGCGAAAGGGTTATGTATAAATCTTGGCATGGTGGAATGTGGAATAATTGCCTTTAAAAACCATCTGAGCCCAGTCATTTTTATAGTATGCATCAAATTAAATGTTACCTTATACCTGTTTTCTATACAGGCACTTCTACTTTCCATCAGTCTTAACATAAGCCAAAGTGTGTTATAGCCGGCCAATAGAGAGTTAAATTATTTTAAATCTACAATCTGGTAGTATTTGTAGATTCTTGATGCTTACATAGTTAAGTATAAACATATTTATCATAAACCTTTTTGAATGGACAGTATACATTATGCGTGTATTTTGTTTAGGATATCAGCGACAGTTGACATACAAGCGTGATGATGGGTCATACAGTGCCTTTGGAAAAAGTGACCGCGCGAGGGCAACACATGGTAAATGCCAAAACCTAGATAAATGTTTTCCAGTAACAAAAGAAAAACACACACACACACACGTTTTATATTATATATGCTTTCTCCTATGTTTGATGCATGCATAACAATTTTTGGTATAAAAAAATGTATACTGAATGTATCATAGATAATCACTGGGCTACTTAGCTGTCCATCCACATTTTTTATCACTTGTAATTCCAGCAGAGTGTCGGTTGACACTTATGCTATACATATTTAATAAGATCTTGTGAACAAATCCCAACTCACTAAGTGCAACACAATTCAGTTAAGGTCAGAGAGAATACATATAGTTCCGTAATGCAACATGAATAGTTGAAATATATACAGTACATTTTTTAAAAACTAGTGGCAAAACCCCTACAGCAGAGCTCAGACTGGGAGAGGGAAAAGTAGAACAAGGGACCAGTCAGGTGTGCTGATGTACTCATGCGAAAACATAAGACATGCTGATAGGAGAGAGCAGGATGACAGAGATGAGGGTGCTACTTCTTTCTTCACAGGCAAGCGGAAGGCTTAGGTCTGTAATCTGAACAGTGGCAGAGAAATATCACTGCTCCTTCTACCAGATAAAGCTATGTAAATCTTAGGCCTGAATGGACTGAAAGACACATCCTTTGGCAGGTTAAACTTTCATTTATGTACAATATTTTTTCTGTATAGTTAGCTATTTGCTTGGAGTTCAGTTTTAAAATAATAATAGCATGGTAATTCCCGTTAAACTAGTATTAAACCCAAAACCAAAAATGTGTTACTTTTTTTTTTTTACCAAACCACACAAGGCTACGATGACGTCTCTGCAAGTCATCAATTTAATTTCAATTATCGTTCTTGAAGAGTCATACAAATCACTCTAGTAAAGGTTCTGTCCAAAGGATATGAAAGAGCTAGACACTGTTTTTCCGGCTATGGTCCATATCATCTTCATTATTTATCTTAGCGTCTATTTGAAAGTAAAAGTTTTACTCACTATTTTGTTTAATTGATTATTATTGTTAGCTTTGTTTTCTATTATAACAGGACAATTCTCCTAAATACATTTATTGCATTCTTCTACAGGCTGTCAGCATTTGTAGTGAAGTCCTTTAGCAAAGCTCGGCCTTATATATTTATAGATGAAAGCCACCTAAAACAATCCTTTACCTGGCTGAAGAATCATCGTAATGAGACTGGCTGCTTCCGCAGTGTGGGAAGACTCTTCAATAATGCTATGAAGGTGATTTGGATACCATTTCAGTTAATTCTTGTAACAACAACCCTCATGGTCCAAAATATGTGATTGGACAAAACTTGGCTTTTGTGTTTGGACCATAAGTTTAAGACATATTCTTCAATTACTCCCTACAACTGCATTATACCAATAAATCAATTCATCTATAGATCTTGAGACCGTTTCTCTTTATCACCAGTTTGAGACTTTCTCTTTGTCATCATTTTCTTGAGATATCTGTCACCAGTAGGGGGCATCTCTCTTTATCACCAGTTTCTTGAGACCATTTCTATCACTGGTTTCCTGAAACTGCCTTTATTTATCACAAATTTCTTGTGACCTTTCTTCTGAATCACTAGTCTGTAGAGGCAAACTATCACCAGTTTCTTGAAACATATCCCTTATCACTGGTTTCTCAAGAACATCTCTCTAAAACACCAGTTTCCTTAGACCTTGAGGTTGATTTACCGATAGGAAATAAGCCTCACAAAGGATTTTGTCCTGGAGCTTAGTGAATGTGTTGGAAGTTTGAACTTGCAAAAAATAGCCAATCATGTAGAAGGAAAATTAAAAAAAAAAAATACAGCATTTTTGCTTTCAAATGATTGGATGATGAAAGCCAGAAGAGGTTCACTAAACTCTGGGGCAAGTTCCCTTGCAATCATGTGCAAGCAATATTTTTTTTTCCTTGCACGTGATTGGATATTCTTTGCAAAGTGAAACGTCACTATGTTTTTTTTAAAGCAGAACTATACTCACCTTGGCTCCAGCAATGCAATGCCCTGGAGCTCCCCGATGGCCATTGACATCTTCGTGCAGCCAGCTTCCAGGTGTCACGCACTGGCCGCTTTCATTGACCGGGCCGATACAAAGTCACTCCTGTGCATGCACAGGAGTTCTGTGAGCTTTGGGATTGCTATATTTCTACAGTAAGTTGCATATGTAGCATGTCTCTTCTGCATTAAAAGTCCTGCCTGTTCACCTATTTTTATAATTTACATTGTTTCCCTTTAAGTACTGGGGCAAATTCAGAAAGTGAGAAGCCAATTTGACCTTGAAAATCACCTTAACCTCTGGAAGATTTACCCCCCTCATGACCAGGCCATGTTTTGTGATACGGCACTGCATTATTTTAACTGACAATTGTGTGGACATGTAATGCTGTACATAAATGAGATGTATGTCTTTTACTTCCCACAAATAGAGCTTTCTGTTCGTGTTATTTGATCACCTCTAGGTTTTCTATTTTTTGTGCTATAAATTAAAAAACACAGACATTAAAAAAAAACAGCATTTTTTTACTTTCTGCTATAAAACATATCCAATAAGAAAAATTAAAAAAAATAAAATTAATAAATTTAGGCCAAAATGTATTCTGCTACATATTCTTGGTAAAAATAAAAAATTCCAATAAGTGTACACTTATTGGTTTGCAGAAAAGTTATAGCGTCTACAAATGGCAGTGTGTATATAGTGGACATTTAAAAAAAAAAAATACTAGTAATGGTGGCAATCAGCGACTTATAGCAGGACTGCGATATTGCAGTAGACAATCTGACACTTTGTGGGAACCAGTGACACTAATACAATGATCAGTACTAAAAATATACACTGACACTGTACCAATGACACTGGTTGGGAAGGGGTTAAACATCTAGGGCAATCAAAAAGGTTAATTGTGTGCCTCGCCAGTGTTCTTGTGTGTACAGTGTGCTGTTTTTACTGGTCGCTGACATAACAAAGCTCTGCTTTGTTTACATAGGCAGAGCCATGTTTTGTTCGTCTCCTCGGCGGACTACAGGTGCCATTGGCCGGCACCTGTTGATTTGCTTCTGCTGTGTCCAGTCACAGCAGAAGTGATACTCCGGCAGCAGGCGCTCGCCCCCCAGTGGCGGAAATGCAATATCATGTTTATATACGTGATTTTGCACAGAACATTTACCCTGTAGCAGTAAATCTGCTATAGAGTGGACGGAAAATAGTTAAAGTTCCTATCTTTATTACCAGTTTTTTGAGACCATCTCTATCGCCAGTTACTTGAGGCCACCTCTCTTTATGACCAGTTTATAAAGACCATTCTACCTAATCACCAGTTTTTTGAGACCAGCTCTATCACTGTTTTCTTGAGACCACAGCTTTTTATCACTAGTTTCTTGAGATCATCTATCTTCATCATCATTTTTGTTATCAGCAATTTCAACATATTCTCTATATCAACTCTTTCCTCTCTCTTTATAAGTTTACAGCTAATTTAAAGATACAATAAGGATTTAGATCTGGGAACACAGAATGCACAGTAAAATATCACTTTTAATGAATGGCTTTAAAAAACAATAAGTGGCGTGCAAAAAAAAAAAATAAAAACACTGAGGCCTCAGCAATTTCAGGAACAATTTACTGAAATACAAACTACAATGTGTATCAAAACAACAATAAGTTTTTAACAACTCCAGACACAAAACTTTCAAAAGGGATTGAACTGATCTAGTAAGAACTCCAGTTGTGGTAGCCTATACCACATTTCCTAAATGGATTTTCCTACTAGAAGGTAGTACTCTGTGTGAAGTTTAATGGTTGACATGCTGGGTATCACATATGGATGCCTCAGGCCCTGACATGTTTCCCCTATGTGTCTTCCTTGGAGGGACCTTTCTGTTTCAATACATTTTTAATGAATAAAAATGTAAAATATCCAGTCTTACAGAAGGTCACATTTTAACATATGATGTATATAAGAAATAAAGCGATAGACGGTTGTGACCAAACATTTAGTTGCATGCCCCTTGAAACACACAAAAACTATAATATGATGGTGTGAAGTACACCCGAGGGGGTTATGGCAGCTAGTGTGACATGTTCCCTCAAAAGTATTATTAAAATAGTGAGACTACACTCACCAAAAGAGTGAACGTCCAAACATCATTAAAGCTCTGTTTGGAAAAAAACCCCATAATGTGAGGGTACCAACTGTGAAACCAGAAACTTGGTGTAAAATGATGTGTGAAAAAATGAGAAGTGCAGAAAGACAGGAAACACACAAGGAGGGGATGGGGTGAAGGGGTGGTGTTGGGCCCCCATGTGCAGAGTGAAACTCCAGTTAGTTAGCTTCAGGAAGTTGAAGGGACCATAATTCATTGAAGTTTCTCCCTAGATAGTTAGATATCTATGGATTATATTTTTTTTTATTATGTAGAATGTCAGCTAACTTCTCATTAAACAAGTACCATGAGTCGGAACACAGAGGGCCGTTTTCAGGCCCTTTTCAGTCTGTGCTTACCTCTTATCTGCCCTTACACATTGGACATTTGTGCCAGTGAAAAGCAGTCTTTTTGGATGTTTCTGTGATAGCTACTATGATTTTCATTTGCACCAAGCCAGCATTTTGTGTAGCCCGACCTGGCATTTTCCCTAGTCTGTGCCGCCATGAACTTGAGTGCTTTGTTTCCAGCTATCATTGGAGACAATGCACCACATTTTTGTTTGTACTCACCCAATGTTACCAAAGACTAATATTTATATGCTGAAGTTCACTGTGAATGCACAGCCTCTTTGGGTGTCTTTTCCAAAACTAATATGAACTCAGCAGGAGGTCATCTGTTATCTGTTTTATTGCATTACTGGCTCTGTGCATTATCTATTTTGATATATTAGGCAATCTAAAATAGTGGGTTCTGCTTAGCTGGATGTGAAGCTCATTATTGTGAAACTTTGGGGGGATTTACTAAAACTAGGGCACTCAGAATCTGGTGCAGCTGTGCATGGTAGCCAATTAGCTTCTGACTTAACTTGTTCAAATAAAACAACAATAAAACATGGAAGCTGACTGATTACTATGCAGAGCTGCACCAGAGTTTGCACTCCATAGTTTTAGCAAATAACCCCCTTGCTATGCTTAGAGGTGTATTTATAAAACATTTGCAGAGGTATTCATCCTGTGGAACGGCTTTCACATTTGTTTGGTGAGAATGGGAGCAAAACCAAATGTTATTAGGCATTGTTAATTATTTTCTCAGGTTGAATGTTCTTCATTCCTTCTTCAGAATAAAATGAATCTGGAAATGGGTCATTAGAGGGAGTTGACACTCATAGTAAATACATATTTATTTCCTATCATCATCAGGTCCATCTAGTGGCCACAATGCAGTATTTTCCCGATTCACTCTATTCTGTAAGAATGAAGAGCGAGAAAATAGTCTACTGATATTCAATTTTGCCCCCATTTCAACAGAATAAATGTATAAATCCAGTTTCATTGGGTGAATAGCTCTGCGATTGTTTTATAAATATAACCCATCATATTTGGAGAGACACACTGCTCTATGCTTCTTTTGATATACACTGTATGGGAGCCATTTTGACACTGCTGTCTCCCTTTTTCACATCCCTTATTTCTCACTGGATATACTGTATATGATCAGTCCTCTATGGGACCTCTTCAATATTACCAGAGTCCATGATCTGCATGTTGAGCTGTGTATTTTTGGCTTTCTGAAGTTCCTGAAGTCGCTCTTGATACATTTTATCCCCCCAGACCATTTTTATTACCTGCCTCTGGATTTGTTCCATCTTATCAATATCGTTTTTTAAGTGAGGTCCCAGAACTGGACATAGTATTCTAAATGAGGTCTAACTAAAGATCTATATAGGGGAATCAGGACCTCCTGCTGGTGACCCCTCTAGTGATTCATCCTAAAATTTTATTTCCATTCACTTCCCCCATTGCCTGGCCACACTATTTGCTCATTTTGCAATCATCTGAAATAAGTACTCCCAAGTCCTTTTCCTCTGAAGTGCTGACCAACTCTGTACCCCCAATGTTGTACTTTCGCAAGAGATTCTTTCTCCCTAGGTGCATTGTTTTACATTTAGAGACACTGAAGTGCAATTTCCACTTTTCTTCCAGCAGTGCCAACTCATGTTCCATGTTACATACACCTCCATGGATATCAACCCTATTGCACACCTTTGTTTCACCAGCAAAAAGACAAACCTTACCAACAAACCTTTAGTTATATCACTTACATATAGTTACATATAGATTAAATAGAACAGGACCTAGTACAGAGTCTTGTGGTACACCACTAATGACTGGTCTCTGTTCTGAGTGAGCCCCATTTACAACCACACTCTGGTATCTATCCTTTAGTCAGATGCATATCCACTGAACCACCCAAGGGCTAAGTCCTAGCTTGTACAACTTTTATATTACAACAATATGTGGAACATACAATGCCTTGTTGAAATCAAGATATGCTATGTCCACAGCACCACTCTGGTCCAAAACATTGGTAATATAGTCAAAAAATCCAATCAGATTAGTCTGACATGATCTGCCCTCGGTAAAGCCATGTTGCTTTGGAGCCAGCAAATTGTGTATTTTTAAGTGATCAATGATCCTTCTTTTCAGGAGTGATTCCATTAACCTGACTCTGACCGATGTTAAACTCACTGGTCTGTAATTGCCAGCTTCTACCTGGATATTGTGGATAGCTACAATATTAGCTGTCCGCCAGTCATGGGAAACTTCTGTTAGAAGAGATTGATTAAAAAGATAAGTTAATTGTTCAATAACTTTACCTCGAAGTTCTCTTAGAACTCTAGGATGAATATCATCATGGGCCCATTACTTTATTAATCTTTCACCGAGCCAGTTCCTCTGCTACCTCTGGAAATTCTAAAAATTAACCATCATTACTAGAACCAATATAATTTCCCAACTTATTATTGTTAGCATAATTTATTTTCTACCTTTTCTCTTTATCGGCAGTTTTAATACATCTTTGCATGAAAGATCTTCTCTTTACGGAAAACAAAAAAATGATCTTTTATGGGAAAATTATAGATCTTATTTACAATAACCAATTAAATTTCATCTTCTATTCTCTGGGAAAATAAAACAAGGAATCTGTGTGCCATTTTTGTGTGGAGGAAACAAGAATGGATAAAAAACAAACACTCATTAAACAATCTTCCAGGAAGCATGAACATGTTAAAAGGCAATTGTTATAATAAATGTCATACTTACCTGCTCTGTGCAGTGGTTTTGCACAGAACGGCCCTAATCCTCCTCTTCTCCAATATCCTGCTGGTGCTCCTGGCTTCTCCCTCCTGCTGAGTGCCCCCAGAGCAAGCACTCAAAGCACAAAGCACTCAAGCAGGCTCGCTCCCCAGCCATTGCTAAGCATGTCCTTTCACACACAGAGCTGCAGCTTGACCCCACCCTCTCTTCTCATTGGTTCACTGGCTGTGATTGACAGCAGCAGGAGTCAATGGCTCTTGCTGCTGTCTCAGCCAATGAGGAGGGAGAGTACCTTGAGAGTCGAGGCTCCAGTGCGCATTGTTGATCACGATGGGGTTCAGGTAACTATTAGGGTGGACGCATAGAAGGTTCTATTCTATGCTTTAAGGTAAAAACCTTTTACAACCACTTTAAAGTAAAGTAAAACCATTCTACATTTTATTTTAACTAAATCTGCATAATTAAATAGAAAAATAAAAATGTTAAATAGAAGCCATGGTCTCTATTACAGGGAGGAGTGGAAGATGACATTTCCCTTTCCGCCTATGTGGCAATTGCTCTGATAGATGGCGGTGTACCCCTGGAGGTGAGTGATCAATATTAATAACCATAGGTGTGCGCAGCCTATTGCATTAGGGCGTGCATCCCAAAGATCAAACACAGATACATTGAAGAAATTATTTTATTGCAGAGCCAGTCAGAGGAAGATCTAACCCATCTCCCCACCGGCACACACAATGATAATGAGCGTGTGCACACTTATGTTAATAACTATTTTATTCAAATATTGTAGTTTATTATAAGGCACTTCCCAATGGTAATAATTGTATAACTTGCTCTAGGTTTTACATTTGTAGTTAAAAGAAAAAGTATTTTACTTCAAAAATATATATTTTTTTTATCATTTGACTGATAAAGATTATCTGTTCCTGTTCAAGTGGAAGTTTTAGGCGCTCTCCCCCATCAGTACCAGCCCATCTTGTTATATTTTCCATTATATGAAATAATGCTGCCAGAGCCCCCATTATCTAATCTTTATGAGTGACCAATATAGGTTAATTATTTATTTAATTTTTTAATGTAAGCTTTGTAGTGATAAGTATCTGTGGGGGAAAGAACTTACATTACATAAATAGTTTTGCGCTAACTCATATAGACATAATAGTCCATAAACAGATTCAAACGTGATAGTTCAATCAAAATATGAAATATATTTGATTGAACTATCACGTTTGAATCTGTTTATGGACTATTATGTCTATATGAGTTAGCGCAACACTATTTATGTATGTTTTATGTTTTAAGTGTGGGATCACCTTTTAAGTGTTATTGCAGTGGCTCTATTTTATTAGCTTATTCGCTAGTTTTATAGCGCACATTGTTTTTTTTTATTTAGTTATATCACATAGATTGCAGTGTCACAGCACAAAAACAATGGAGCAGCATCACCTTAGAATAATGTAACTAGGTTACATTGTGGTACAGTAAAATGCACTCAAGAAGCACGGACATTTACAGTTAAAGTAAATATATTACCATTAAACCCAAAGAATTATATATATATATTTTATTCCATTCGACTGCCAACTGGATCATTCCTCTAAAGTAGGGGTCTCTAAACATTCTAAACAATAGACCAATTTACTGTCCTTCAAACTTTAGGGGGCCCATATTAGAGTCAGTGGGAGCAAAAAATGTCCTAGCAACCAGTGGGGGTAAACAATATCCTGTGTTTGGAGTCAGTGGGAGAAATAGTGCCCTATCGTTGGTGTCAGTAGGGGAAATAGTGCCACATCGTTGGTGTCAGTGGGAGAAATAGTGCTCCATCATTGGTGTCAGTGGGAGAAATAGTGCTCCATCGTTGGTGTCAGTGGGAGAAATAGTGCCCCATCCTTGGTGTCAGTGGGAGAAATAGTGCCCCATGGTTGATGTCAGTGGGAGGAATAGTGCCTTTCTGATGGTGTCAGTGGGAGGAATTATGCCCCCTTGTTAGTATCAGTTGAAAGAATAGTTCACCATTGTTAGTATCAATGGAAGGAATAGTGCCCCATCGTTGGTATAAATGGAAGTAATAATGCTTCATTCTTGGTGTCAGTGTGGATAATAGTGCCCCATTGTTGGCGTCACTGGATGGAATAGTGCCCCATTGTTTGTGTCACTGGATGGAATAGTGCCCCTTTGCTGGTGTCAGTGGAAGAATAGTGCCCCATTGTTGGTGTCAGTGACAGGAATTATGCCCCACTGTTGGTGTCACTGGATAGAATAATGCTCCAAGGGCCGGATAAACGCAAGCAAAGGGCCAAAGTTTTCAGACTGCTGCTCTAAAGCAAAAAAACTTTACAAAAAAAAAGGTTACTTGTATCCATTACGTTACAGATGATATATTTAGCAATTTTCTTTCTCATGTATCCTTTTTTTTTTCTCCATGTAGGATCCTCTGGTCAGAGAAGCAGTGTCCTGTCTGCAAAAAGTAGCCGTGGATGTGTCTAGTGTATACACTCTGGCTCTGCTAGCTTACACATATACACTCAGCGGAGACACCGAGCTCAGAAAAACTGTATTGGACAAACTAGAGGAGAAGGCTGTTGGAGGAGGTGAGAAATCAATTAACTTAGAGAACTCCAGGCAAATGTATATATTTGCATATAGCCGAATCTATTTAAAATGTATACTTGTTTTAAATAGTATGCAATAAATTACAAGATGACTTAATTAACTTTTCATTCCTTCCTATACACCAGCTGAAATGCAAAATAAAACTATGTCTACATCCAAACCCCTATAGCAAAACCCCAGTTTTTACTTTCATATAGTAAATATCAATGGTCCAAGATTACTGAAAATAAAAAAGAAACCTTTGTTGCAGTACTCGCCTTCTATCACCAGTCTTCTCAGTTTTAAGATGGCCAGCATCATTTATCCCACTTTCTAATAGGCCCCCCAATCACATTAGGCAATTTGGAAATCTAAATCATGGCAAAAAGCATGATGCACATTTGGGTACCATTATTTTTAATGGCACTTCAAACGCAGTGGGATTCTGCCGCAATAGTCATGACAGACTGCAAATGTACAATCAAAACGTACACATTCCTGCGTGAAACATGGCTGTGTGTATAAGTGGGTGCTGCAGCGACCGAGAACCGAGACAGAATCAGCAAGAGAGAATGTCACCAGCACACAGAGTATCACCAATATGGGTCCAAAAGTTTTAATGATCGATCACCTAGTTACAGCAAGGCAACATTTCGGAGTCTTGCAGAACCCCTTTATTCGGCATGTGACCACATGCCGGATGAAGGGGTCCTGCGACTCTGAAATGTTGCCTTGCTGTAACTATGTGATCGTTCACTAAAACGTTTGGACCCATATTGGTGATACTCTGTGTGCTGGTGACATTCTCCCTTGCTGAGTCATGATAGAATAGCGCGCAGGGGCGGACTGACCATTTGGAAACTCGGGCACTGCCCCTAGTGCCTTTTTCATAGGCTTTTTTGAGTTTGGGCAAGGACACAGGGGCCCCATGATCCCCTATTGCCCGGCGGCCCCATGAGTTGTCAGTCCGCCCCTGATAGCGCGTCAAACATGCCAAAGCACTCCTTTAAAAATTCTGCTAAGCTTGTTTCCCACAAAGGAACAGGAGCTTCTTTTGCGTGACAAACGCACGTAGGGCAGCTAATTGAAGTGAATTGGTTGCCATATGCGTGGTACACGGAAAAGCCTGTAAATCACTCTTTTAAAATGGCAACGCTCATTCCTACTATGCAATATCTGAATGGGGCCTTGGGTGAATTCACATTTGTAAATGCATCTGCAGTCCTACTACATGTGAGAAACTCAGCAGGGGATCCCAAGATTAGCTACAAGAGGCAACCCATCAAAAGCAATGGAAGGCTATTGGCTCCCCCAGCTAATCACACCCACTCGCATATAATCACTGCTTGAGTGATTACATGCAAGTGGACGCAATTAGCTGTGGGAACCGACAGCTTCTCATTGCTTTCAATGGGGCTTGCCTCTTGCATCTAATCGCAAGAATCCCCGCTGGGGTTCTCCCATGTAGTCCAACTGCAGATGCATTCACAAGTGTGAATGCACCCTTAGCTTGAGATGTCACTTGGGACATCTCATCACATCAGCCTGGGAATACTACTGCATTCAATGGTACTCACTAATAACAAGCCAGTAATGAGGTCATACAAACAAGCTTTAGCGAGAGAAAAGACCATAATATAGTTATGTCATGTCCTTGTATCTACAGATGGACAACTCTACTGGAAACGTGATACTGTGCCTCCCAAGCAAGATTCATACTGGTACCGAGCTCCATCTGCTGAGGTGGAGATGAGCTCCTATGTGCTCCTGGCTCTACTCTCTGGTCCTGAACCTGACCTGGGCAAAGCTGCAGAGATTGTGAACTGGCTGAGCAAACAGCAGAACCCCTATGGAGGCTTCTCATCTACACAGGTGACTGATGGACTAAATACAGAAATGCAGCAAGCTAGATTCAGCAAGGCTTATCTGTTCACTGATAACCTGCAGCATATCTCACTGTCAACTGTTCTGGTTGATCTGGGTGGTAGGTTACAGTTGCAAGAAAAAGTATGTGAACCCCTTGGGATTACGTGGAGTTTTGCATGAATTGGGCATAAAATGTGCTCTGAACGTCATCTAAGTCACAACAATAGAAGAGCACAGTCTGCTGAACATAATACTACACAAACATTAGATGTTGCCATGGTTTAATTGCACATAACATGTAAACATTCACAGTGCAGGGAGGAAAAAGTATGTGAACCATTGGACTTAATAACTGGTTGACCCTCCTTTGGCAGCAATAACCTCAACCAAACATTTCCTGTAGTTGCAGATCAGACCTGCACAACGATCTGGAGTAATTTTGGACCACTCCTCTTCACAAAACTGTTTCAGTATAGCAATATTCTTGGGATGTCTGGTGTGAATCGCTCTCTTAAGGTCATGCCACAGCATTTCAATCGGGTTGAGGTCAGGACTCTGACTGGGCCACTCCAGAAGGCGTATTCTGTGCTGTTGCAGCCATTGTTTTGTTGAATTACTTGTATGCTTTGGGTCATTGTCCTGTTGCATCACCCATCCTCTGCAGAGCTTCAGTTGGCGGACAGATGGTCGTACGTTTTCCTGCAAAATGTCTTGATAAACTCTGGAATTCATTTTCCCATCAATGACAACAATCCGTCCAGGCCCTGAGGCAGCAAAGCAGCCCCAAACCATGATGCTCCCTCCGCCATGTTTTACAGTGGGGATGAGGTTTTGATGTTGGTGTGCTGTGCCTTTTTTTCTCCACACATAGTGTTGTGTGTTCTTCCCAAACAACTCAATCTTGGTTTCATCTGTCCACAGTATATTTTGCCAGTAGTGCTGTGGAACATCCAGGTGCTCTTTTGCAAACTTCAAACGTGCTGCAATATTCTTTTTGGACAGCAATGGCTTCCTCCGTGGTGTCCTCCCATGCACTCCATTCTTGTTTAATGTTTTCCTTATTCTAGATGTGTCAACAAAAATGTTAGCATGTGCCAGAGATGTAGGTCTTTAGCTGACACTCTGGGATTCTTCTTTACCTCATGCAGCATTTTGCGCTGTGCTCTTGCAGTCATTTTTACAGGACGACCACGCCTAGGGAGAGTAGCAACAGTGCTAAACTTACTCCATTTGTAGACAGTCTGTCTTACCGTGGACACATGAACATCAAGGCTTTTGTAGATACTTTTGTAACCCTTTCCAGCTTCATGCAAGTCAACAATTCTTGATCGTAGGTCTTCTGAGAGCTCTTTTCTGCGAGGCATGGTTCACATCAGACAGTGCTTCTTGAAACCAGTAAACCCAAAACAGGTGTGTGTTTTTTAAGGGCAGGACAGCTGTCAGCAGCACATCCAATTTCATCACACTGATTGGAGTCAAGGTTGGCTCACTCCTGGCTCCAATTAGCTCTGGGAGAAGTCATTAAGCTAGGGCCTCACATACTTTTTCCTCCCTGCACTGTGAATGTTTACATGTTATGTGCAATTAAACCATGGCAACATCTAATGTTTGTGTAGTATTATGTTCAGCAGACTGTGTTCTTCTATTGTTGTGACTTAGATGACGTTCAAAGCACATTTTATGCCCAATTCATGCAAAACTCCACGTAATCCCAAGGGGTTCACATACTTTTTCTTGCAACTGTATATCATCTGTCCCTGTGCTGAAATTCCTAAAAGGCCCTAGCAGAGGGCCTTCCTGTCCAAGATCCTATATTTATGGAGACTTCACAATAAAAATATGTAGAAAGACCAACCCTAGAATTATTCTAGGGTTGGGGAGTAGGATGGGGGGGGGGGGGGGTTGGAAGCAGGATTTTTTATTTGCATTTTGTCCATTACATCCTTATTTTTTACTTTGTACATCATGTGATTTATATACTGGCCTTTGTTGACCACAACGTGAAATAAAAGTGTTCACCTTTGTCCCTAGTGTACACCTTTGGACCTTTACTACCAATCCTCTTATTCCATATAGGACACAGTTGTGGCTCTCCAAGCTCTGGCCAAGTATTCCGAGCTCACATTTAGTGATAAGGGTGATGTGACTGTGACTGTTGGTTCCAGCTCAGGATTTCTAGAGAGTTTCCATGTAGACAAAAAACAACCGGCTCCTCCTCCAGAAAGCATCACTACCAGCTGTTACTGGAGATTACACTGTGACTGCCATGGGCAACGGCTGTGTATTTGTACAGGTAAGAGGAAACTAACTCTCTGCCTTCTCTTCTCTTTGTCATAATTTACCTCTAACTCGCTTTTTTGTCTTCATTCCACAGACAGTCCTGAGATACAATGTTCCACCACCCAGAAGTGACACCAGCTTTTCATTAAAGGTGACACCAAAGTCAAACAGAGAGTGCCTGGGGGATCCAGTGACAAATTTTGAGATTCTTATCAGTGCTACGTGAGTTTTATTAGTGTTCTCAAATGTATAATTAATTGGGGGACACAGTAAGATTCTCATGTTTTTATCTCTGCCCATTACTTTTTAGAACATTAAAATGCTACTATCCCTATGTACTAATTCATCCTCCTAATAGTGACCCCTTATATCTGAAATGTCTTGTTTTGGGTGGACCAACCTTTTATGTTCCTGTTGCCATGCTCAGAATAGCCATGTTCATTTGAAAATGATTAAAACCAAAGTCACATCAAAAATTCTAATATCAAAATCTCTATTATATGTCCATATATGTGTCTTACCTTACTCTCAAGGATGCAAGCATCCTTATACACAGTTAAACACCCCCCTGTCCTAATGGAATAATGTTAATTGTAGGGCTGAAACAACTAATCGACATCATTGATTATAATCGATTATGAAAATAGTTGTCAACTATTTTCATAATCGATTAGTTGCCCTGCATACAGAATGCGTTATTTGTACAGAAAATACAGTGCAGCACTCACACAGCTCAGTACACTGTCCATACAGGTCAGTATACACAGTGCAGCAGACATGCTCAGTATACCATCCATACATGTTAGTAAGGGCCTGAGAACTTGTGAATGTGGGGAGCAATGGCTTATGGGACGTGTAGTCCTGGACAGGAGATGGAAGCAAATGATTCTAAAGGTAAGTTTTTTGTTTTTGTTACCTTGCTATAGGGGCACTCTATAAAATACTTTACCGCTTGCTATAGGGGCACTGAGAAGGCATAAGCGCCTGCAGGGGACCCCAGAAGATAAGGGCCAGGTCTGCTCTATGCAAAACCATTACACAGGTAAGTATAACAAGTTTGTTGTTTTGAACAAAAATCCAACATTTACAATCACTTTAAGGGCTCTGTGCAGGAAGATCAGCATCTGAACTCAGAGAAGCTGGAGCATGATAGTCTCGAGGCAATATAAGGCATTACAATTAATTACAAAATTTAAATTTTACCATTATTTTGCATTATATTTAAAATGATTATATCCATGAAAAAAAGTCTCAGCCTTTAGTACTACTTTAATATAAAAAGATTTATATCACCTCCCCCTCCATCATGCAACTTAAAGTGTTACTAAACCCGCAACAGTAAAATTAGTCTGTATATGCAGTAAAGCATGCTTGTTATACTAATTGTGGAACCTAAGGGGTTACTCCTCTGCATTGTGTAAAAAGGCTGTTTGGTCCTGACTTCTCTGCCCCTCCTCTTATCCAAATGTCCACGCTGATATGACAGACTGAACCTGTAGCCCTTCTGCACATGTTCAGTTTAGTGTGTATTGCTAGAGAGGTTTTTTTTTCTTGGGAGAGTCCATGTGATCAACACAGGGTCAATCAGCACTGTCCAGACAGAGGTCAGGGGTTTGCATTCTCCAAGAGCAGAAAGAGAACTTCTCCTACAAGATTTAGCCAGTGCTCTGCTGAAGTCACAAGACTGCTTTAGCTGCTGATGAGGAAAGGTATTTAGCAGTTTATATTTACTACAATAACTGCATTTCCATGTTGTGTGTACTGTGGGAGACTAGATATAGTGAATGCAGGGTCCTGGGTTTAGTAACACTTTAATGTCTGACTCCCATTTTAAATACCTTGTGTATCTTCTGGGTATATTTTTTGTTATATACTGTATACACTGCTCAAAAAAATCAAAGAAACACTTTGAAAACACATCAGATCTCAAAGGGGAAAACATATCACGGTGGCTATCTATACTGATATGGACTGGGTAATGTGTTAGGAACGTAAGGATGATGGAAATAAAAATCGTTTGATGGAAATAAAAATCATCAGCCTACAGAGGACTGAATTCAAAGACACCCCAAAAATCAAAGTGAAAAAATTATGCAGCAGGCAGATGCACTGACACATATTGTCACAGAGGTGTTCTATTGGATTTAGGTCAGGCTAGCATGGGGCCATTCAGTGATATCAATTCCTTCATCCTCCTGGAACTGCCTGCATACTCTCGCTACATGAGGCCAGGCATTGTGCACCAGAAGGAGCCCAGGACCCACTGCACCAGCTTAGGGTATGACAATGGGTTCAAGGATTTCATACCCATACCTAATGGCAGTCAGGGTGCCATTGTCTAGCCTGTAGAGGTCTGTGTGTCCCTCCATGGATATGCCTCCCCAGACCATCACTGACCCACCAACAAAACCGGTCATGCTTAACGATGTTACAGGCAGCATAATGTTCTCCACGGCTTCTCCAGACCCTTTCACGTCTGTCACATGTGCTCAGGTTGAACCTGCTCTCATCTGTGAAAAGCACAGGACGCCAGTGGCAGAGCTGCCAATTCTGGTGCTCAATGGCAAATGCCAATCTTGCTCTATGGTGCTGGGCAGTGAGCACAGGGCCCACTAGAGGACGTCGAGCCCTCAGGCCATCCTTATGAAGTCTGTTTCTGATTGTTTGGTCAGAGACATTCACACCAGTGGCCTGCTGGAGGTCATTTTGTAGGGCTGGCAGTGCTCATCCTGTTCCTCCTTGCACAAAAGAGCAGATACCGGTCCTGCTGATGGGTTAAGGACCTTCTACGGCCATGTCCAGCTCTCCTAGAGTAACTACCTGTCTCTTGGAATCTCCTTCATGCTCCTGAGACTGTTCTGGGAGACACAGCAAACCTTCTGGCAATGTCACGTAATGATGTGCCATCCTGGAGGATTTGGACTGCCTGTGCAACCTCTGTAGGGTCCAGGTATCACCTCATGCTACCAGTAGTGACACTGACCATAGCAAAATACAAAACTAGTGAAACATAGTCAGAAATGATGAGTAGGGAAAACAATGTCAGTGGCCTCCACCTGTAAAACCATTCCTGTTTTGGGGATTGTCTCATTGTTACCCATCCAGTGCACCTGTTGTTAACTTCATTAACACCAAAGCAGCTGAAACTGATTAACAACCCCCTCTGCTACTTAACTGACCAGATCAATATCCTGGGAGGTTAATTTACTTGATACTATCCTCTGATTAAAAAGTGTCCCTTTAATTTTTTTGATGAGCAGTGTATTATTACATTTAATGTTTCACAGTATAAATTAACCCCTTATAGTAGTGATTATCTGCTGGTTTTTTTGTAACCCCATCTTGACAGGTAATACAAAAACTATGGTGCTGCTACTAAATATCTTATGTTGGCCATAGAGGTATTGATTTTCAGACAAGAATATTTGTACAAGAAATCTTTGTACATATGATGAATGGAGGAATGCTGTTCAAGAATTTCACTTGCAAAACAGTGTTTTAGGTCTTTTATTTATTTCTTTAACAAACAATTTTGATCTCAGAGTCTGAGGATAAACCCAGGACCCTGCATTCACTATATCTGGTCACTACTGCAGCCATAGGTAATTGTATTTGTTCAACTTATGGGTGGCTACAGGAGTTGAATGGTTGTTGTGGTTCTGCTTTCTCAGTCACCTCTAAACCCCAACTTGTGATTGGACAATACAATTACTTTTAAAATACTGATGAGGTTTTTTTAGGCTGACACTAGACCCCTGGTTGGCTTTTAAAGCTGACCCCCACCTTCTCCAGTTTGAGTGTCACTCTATAAGTTGCTGATGGTAAGGCAGATTCATCATATCTCCCAACCTTCAGAGATGGGAAAGAGGGACACCTTTGTATGTAGGCAAAGGACGCAACCCTGCTAAGTCCCCATTTACGCAGATACTAAAGAATTAATACACAGAAAATGACTGGATGAACCCACAAATCCTTTTTACCACTCGTTCTCCTTCATACTTGCTTTTCAAAACAACAAATGTAGGAATTTACAGGATAGATGAAAGGTTTAACATTGTAGGATAGTTTTGGTATTTAAATACTACACTGTTTATCAAGTTATACTTCTAGAACAGTGATCTCCAAACTGTGGCCTGTGGGCTAGATGCGGCCCATTACTTGCCTTTACCTGACCCTTGGGTCACTGTTCCTCCTACTGGCACCAACAATGAGGCACCATTTTATCCACTGACAACAATATGGCACTATTTTTGCCACTAATAGCATTGATGAGGCACTATCCTCCACCTGCTGACCACAGGCTCTATGTATGTTTTCTATTGCCACCAACATTGGGGGATTTTTTTTTCTGTCACCGGCCACATTCTAGCTGCCCTAAGGGCCGAAAGACAGTAGCCTAGCCCTGTGTTTAGAAATTTGACAACCCCTGCTGTAGAACAAAAAAGAGGGATGATTGAAGAGGAAAGAGGGTCAAAGGGATTTTGTTTAAAATAAGGGACAGTCCCTTGAAATGAAGGACAGTTGGGAGATATAGATTCAGTACAAATGCTAACACTGAATTATGTCTTATATGGATACACATTGGAATTAATGGTGTTTTGTTTTTTTAATATTATTCTTGACTCTTTTTTTTAGGTTGCAGACCAAAGTATTTTTAATCAAGCCTTGTATTTTTATTCCTACAGATACGTTGGAACCCGGGAAAAATCCAACATGGTTGTTATAGAGGTGATTATGCTGTCTGGATACATCCCTGTCAAGAGTACAATAAAGAAGGTAGAGACTTGTATACTAACTAATCAGTAGACCAGTTATTGTCTAAAACAGCCTTTCTCAACCAAGTTTCCTGCAGAGGTTGGTAGGGGTTCACCAAGAAATGAGCACTTTTTACCTGTCAGATAAGTTCCCACTGATAACAAAGATCTTTTTAGCTGTATGTATGAGAGGTGTTTATCCCAGTAACCACAAATGTAAGGAACATTCTTCCCACTGACCACCAGTATAATGTACTGTAACCTGTAGATATAGTAATTAATATCAGGAGTTCCATTAGACTGAAAAGGTATTTCAAGGGTTCCTTTATGTTAAAAAAAAAAAAAGTAGAGAAAGTCTGGTCCTAAGATTAGTAAAAGTTTAGTGCCTCAGGCCACAACACATCCTTAAAGTTGACTTCCAGGCAAATAGGTACAAATCTGGTTAAGATACAAATATGTGAACTGATTTA